TGTGTGTGTGTGTGTGTGTGTGTGTGTGTGTGTGTGTGTGTGTGTGTTGGAGGTATACCTCATGATAAAATGCTTACCTAACATACATAAGTATTCTTAATAGGGGGTTTATGGAACTGCTTAAATGGAAAAGAAAACAAATGATTTTAGTAAGGTCAGTTAGATTCCAAGTCAAATTTTGGTTGGTTATTGAAGGAATTGGCACTGGAATCTATAAATTTGCCATGCCTGATGGCCAAGAAAAGATGAAAGAGCTCTGAGGCTCCTCTCAGCTCTGGCACTTTCCTCCTCCTCCTTGTTTTAAGATCTTTGTCCACCAAGGTGGTTAGTTAGCTTAGGAAGAAAGAAGGACAGGGATGAAGAGAGCTGGTGCAGCTCCTATAGAAGGTGTGAGGAGTGGAGTGAGCACTGCAGGGAGCCGAGCTAGGGGGCAGCCTTGCTGTGAAAGGGCACCAGTTAGAGCCAGGGTAGTAGGAAATGGAGGGGTGTGTAGATTCACACATGGTATTTGCAGTACTAGGTGGGTATTCAGAAGAGTGTCATTGGAAGATTGTAATTGTCTGCCTGACAATTCTTGGTCCAAGAAGTGACTAAAGGTTTTGAATAGTCTTGAGTACAAGAGGAGGGACATTGTTAGACTTGGTGTATCGGCCACAATTTGGGCCTCGTGGATGAGGTTTATTAGAATGGAAGGCTGCACAGCAGAACCAGTGGGGAGAAAGCCTTGGAGGTCTAGTGTGTGCTTTGTAGTTCTCACCCTAAGAGCGAGACTTAGGAAGAAAAAGACTCCTTACTCTGCCATGACATGTCAACCTGTGTTTCTGCCAGGGAAGCTCATTTAAGACTTCTAGTCCAGGGTGGGGTACGGAGAGGGGGATGGTCATATTGGCTCTTTGCTTTCTCAGCAAGCCACAATTATCAAAATTCCAGACACCCAGAAGAAAGTTGATGCTCACCACAAATCATACTGTTTGCATATAGTTCAGGCAGATTGCTATGGCAGTTGAGAACCTCCGCTGTCATGTAACCTTGTTATCATCGGAGCGTTCAGAGCTGAGTTAGCAGACAGCAGCATCACACACAGGACCTTCAGAAAAGCAACAGCAGCCACACATGGTGGCGCATAGCTATGACTGCAGCACTCTGGAGGCTGGGACAGAAGGATTCTGACACTTAGGCCTCAAAAACAATAGCATTGTCAGTCCTACTATGGTGACTTCCTTCTGGCAGATATTAAAGGCCTGGTCTTCAGTGGTATCACCTGATCATAAGCTGTGGGCGTTTTCTCTAGGAACTTGTGGGAAAGAGACAGATTTTTACACAGATGTGTGAAAGTTCAAAGGAAAGATGGGATCTGTGAGAGAAACCAGATGGTAAAGTGGGCCTATACAAGTGAATTGTCTTTAAAAAAATAAATAGGTATTATGAAGTCTTTTTTCTAATATACTAAGTTTTCCTCTGTTCTTTGCTTGCTCTTTCATCAAAGAGGATACTTCTGACAAGATGGATGGTAAGACTTTTATAATTCTTTTCCACATTTCTACTGGGTCCTTGTTGATTCTTTTATGCTATTTATTTATCAAGAACTTCATGTGAAATGGCTGCAGGACTCCGGCTTGGATTTTGAGTTGCTTTTATCCTTTCTGGATTTCCTTGTGGTTTTTTTTTTTTTTTTGGAACTTAAGTCAGTTACCTAAAATATGTCATATGAACCCTGAAAAATAGCACTCATATTTTTAATTTCTTATTTCTTTTTACAATACTGGATTCAGAAGGAGGAAAGGAGTCTCTTAAGTCTCTGTTTTAACATGTTAGTTACCAACTGAAGAGAGACAGGTGTCTCACAGTTCACATGTTTATTTAAAATTGATTGCAAGTAGCACATGCTGAGTTTTTAAGCTAACATTTAATTTATTGCAGCTTGTCTGTGGCTGCTTTGGTCTAGTCACAAATCTGTACCTTGTTTTGTCAGACACTAGAGAGAAAACCATCACGGCACTCACTCTCTTCCCTTTAGGGCTGATGGTCTCACCTGGAGGTCTGAGCCTTGTTAAAGAATTTGTCAAAAGAAAAGAAATGGAAGCAAAACACCTTTTCCCTTAATTATTTATTACATAAACTCTACAAATTAACTTGATTTTTTTTCTATTTTAATAAAATGAAAGTTTTATTTAATCTCAGGTTAGGAACTATTTTTAGTATCTCTGTTTTAAAGTATTTCATAATTAAGACGTTTTGAATGGGAATGATAGCCATCAGGAGGGGATTTCTTACTGAATTCTTAGATATCTTTGAACTTTTATATTGCTGGAGCATGTAGAAAATTTTTCACTTACCAACCAAAGTGGTTTGTTTGGGTTCGAATTAACGCCCTTTCTGAGGCATCCTCTGGTATCTGATGTGTTCAGCCCTTCATCTGACAGTGTTGCTGTGCACTGGGTGTCGTTGCCCCTAGTGGTTGTGACGGCTTTCACACTTGCTCATTTTCAATAGACTTCATGAGCTCTGTGGTCGCACTGCAGCTGAGCGCTGCTGTTAGGTCCTCGGATTTGTCTGTGCTCTGATGAAAGTGATAGCGAGTGCAGCCGAGGTCGTGAATTTGATTCTGTTTCTCTCTGGTTCCCTGTGGGCTACCTTTAGAAAAGAAACAGAATCTAGTTCTGCTTTAGAGAAGTCTATATAAACCTTTATTTGCAAGGAAAAGTAATCAGAGTTAAGTTGTTCTTAAGTAATTAATATCTCAGATTTCTTCCACCCTTCCAAAATTTAAGAATTTTGCTGTTTTTAGTTTTCTGGCTTTAACCTTTTTGGTGTGAACTGTGAATCGAATTCTGTCAGATTATTTTTTTTCTCATTTGAATGTTTTTAAGGCTAAATCCGATCTGACTAAAGTCACATTCTGCTTTCACCTTTGCAGATAAGTCCTGGGGGAGGGGATTGTAAGGTAGCATTTTCAGAATTTGTTGAAATACTGTTTTATTTCTCTTATTTAGGAACAGCATCTGATGATGGTAAGAAGTAAATACTTTGTTAGTAACACAGACTCTCCACCTCCCAGTTTCATTGATAGTATGCATTGAAACTAAAACAGGCTAATTTATCTGCAGACCCTTCTCATTTGCCAGCTGTGGTAGCTTTTGCATTCTATATTTGGTTGTGTTCATTATATGTAAAAAATTTTTTCTAATTCATCATCCAGTTTTGCTTTATATCCTGAATCATCTCATGTTAGAAAAACATTATTGCATAACATATTTAATAACACCTAGTATATAATTCCATTTTCCCAGTAATGACAACAGAAATGCTTTTTTTTTTTGCTTTTTTTTTTTTAAAGTTAATGCAAGATCATTTCTGCTTCTTAGGAATGCTGCTTTATCATTGGACATTAAATACTTGAATTTCATCTATTTTCAAATGTATCTTATTTTTTCAATCAATGACTACAGAATTGTTCTCTGATCAAATTTAGTTTTAAGATTATAACTACTTGCTACATATACTTTCCTGAGTCAGTTCACATTAAAAGAAATATTCCTTCTGAGTTTGTAGAAATGAAAAGAATTTAGTTTTTGTATTTATCCTTCCTAAAGACTATCTCATTAAAGCCTTTTGTTTTATTTAAACACATTTTTTTCCTAAGTTTGACATGAACAACATTTTCTTGAGTATAAAACCAAATGCATGTAATCATTTTTGTTTCTATATTAACTGTGGTGGGCATAAAATAGTTTTAAGTTTAAATTGGATTACTCTCAAAATGTTAGTTTTGATACAGAAAATGAATGGCAGCTTACTTCAGTGCTTTTAATTTAAACTATTAGTATGTGGCTAGAATGTAGGTGGACTCTTTATTCAAAAGTAATCATTCAGTTTTCTTTGCACTGTTCTTCAGTTATGAGGAACTTGTGACCCGCCCAGAGCAGACTCCTAAAGCTGAGGGCCTGCAGTGTGGGCTCCTGGGACCTTGCCAGTGACAGTAGTGCTCAGGCGGTGCCCATGATGCTCTCTCTGCCTCTGCTTCACTCCCAGCTCCCACTGCTCCTCTGACCTCACTCGGTCCCCATGTTCAAGTCCAGCCCTGCTCTTCAGCACCTGCTTTTCTAATCAGGACAGTCACATTAGATTAGTCACTATTTTGAGATTCCTCAAAATTGTACCTCTTAATTTACAAAGATTCCAAATGCTTTTTTTTCTTCTGTGTTCAACATCATGTGATCTGCTTGAGAGTGTGACTGGAGAGAGAGGCCCAGAGCACCTAGTGGTAGGAATTTGACTGTCATTCATCTTTACTACTGGCAGCTTACTCAGACACTTTAGTGCAAGAGCTCTAGACAGAGCCTGCTTGGGTGGCGAGCATCTTTAATCAGGCATGTCTCAGTGGGTTTGAGGCCAGTCTAGTCTATAATGTGAGTTCCAGCAGTACTAGAGATCCTGCCCTGTACCCACAACCAAAAATGAACAAAACTGAATCTCTGGAAATACAGTGAAAATATTTGTAGTGTGGTTTTGCAATGGAGTGAGATGGAGGGAGAGGTGAAAGGGAAGGATCTAGGAAAAAGAGAAAAAAGATGACTTGGCTGGTGGCAACTCTTCTGCAGTTCTCTTTAGAAGCACACTGTCCATCAAGAAGACTGTTTACAGTTTGGTTTATTCTTAAGATACTTGATATTTGAGAACAGTCCTAACTTTCTAGAAACTGAAACTTTTTTTTGTTTTATTTTGGTTTGTGTTCTTGTCTTTTGAGGGTCTCATGTAGACCAGGCTGGTCTCAAACTCAAAGAGAGCCTCCTGCCTCTGCCTCCCAAGATCTAGGATCAAAGGTGTGCACCACCATGCCTGGCGACTTTATTCTTATGTAGAACATGTATGAAGAAGTGTATACCTGGGCTTGGTGGTATTTAGGCTGTAGTCCCAGCCTTGGAAGATAAGGCAGGAGAATCTCCTAAGCCAAGGAATTTCAGATAAGCCTAGGTGAGATGCCATCTTAGAAAACAAACCTCAAACTATACTTTTGAATTCATTTTTTGTTTTTTTTGGTTTGGTTTGGTTTTTTTTTTGGGGGGGGGGTTTTTTGTTTGTTTGTTTTGTTTTTTTCAAGACAGGGTTTCTCTGTGTAGCCCTGGCTGTCCTGGAATTCACTGTAGACCAGGCTGGCCTCGAACTCAGAAATCCACCTGCCTCTGCCTCCCAAGTGCTGGGATTAAAGGCGTGCGCCACCACTGCCCAGCTTAAATTCATTTTTTAAAAAAGATTTATTTATTTATTTTTAATGTATATGAGTACACTATTGCTCTCTTCACACCCCAGAAGAAGGCACCAGTTTCCATTACAGATGGTTGGGAGCCACCATATGGTTGCTGGGAATTGAACCCAGGACCTCTGGAAGAGCAGTCGGTGCTCTTAACCACTGAACCATCTCTCCAGCCCTACTTTTAAATTCTTAAGAGAAATATATAAATAATGGCTGCCTTACTTTAGAATTTAAAAATATTTGAAAATAGTGGAAGTCCCCCTTCTTAATACTAAATACTGTTATAGAAAGTGTTTTAATTGTGTAAATATTTGTTTCTCAGGTCGGGTGAGAGCCAAGCTTTCTACACCGCTTGTTGCAGTGGGAAATGCCAAGACTGACTCTAGAGGGAGAAGCCGGACAAAAATGGTGTCTCAGTCCCAGCGTATGTACTGCTCCTGAGTCCTCCCTGTTGTGTTCAGCTAGGGCGAATGTGTCTCTTATTTTACTGTTAGGAACTGAGCAGTGGATACATTCAAAGCTGATTTGAAAAGCCACAAGCCACATACTGAGTTCTTGTTCTGTACTTTAGGTTCATCATCACCTGACAAAAATGAAGGTATTTTTTCAATGTTTTGGGTCAGTTGTTGTGCATGTTTGGGTTTGGTTGGTGTTTTTTTGTTTGTTTGTTTGTTTTGGTTTTTGAGTGGGTGTTGTCTTGTGTTTGTGTTATCAGGGCCACATCACTGATCTCTACCACTTAGAGGGAAGGCTTCATCTTATATACAGACTTTGCATGGAAATACTTTCAATATGAATCTTTAAAGTCAAGGTTCACATTCTACTCAGAAACTTGCAGGCGTGGACAGTTGTGCCTTTTAGATGCAAAATAATTTTAGTATTAACAACAAATCTGTTTCTATCTAGCAGATGCTATGCAAAGACAGAAAAGTGTTATCTTCATACTCTCCTCAAAATTTGTTTGATCATCTTAAATTTTGGCTAGTATTTTTGGCAAGTGAACACTGACTAATCATGAGGGAAAAATAGGCTGAAATAGATCTGATAAACTTCGTGGGAAATTTGAGGTTTATGTTCGTATATTTCACTTCTTATTGAGTTCCTTACGGGAACAATTTAAAAGCACAGTCATAGGCCGAGGTAAATGCACAGCCTGCATCTATCTGTCCCAGCAAGTGGCTGAGTGCTGCAGTTTAACTAACAGGGATTTCTTGCTGTTCCCTCTGTACCGACAGGCTGTTTTCAGCACTCTCTAAAACAGGTGTTTTTTCTAAGGAAGTGAAGAATAGGTCCTTTTTATAACCTAATTATTCGGAGAAAGAATGGTTCCAAGGTTACTGTTGGGTGGCAGATGTCCTGTTTATTTTTATTAGTCTGATTTCTGCATTGTAGGATCAAGGGAGAAGAGTAAGGCTCAGAGACACAAGGAGACCTCAGTATATGTGTCATGATGCCACCTCTTCCTGGCATCAGAATGTCTGGCAGAGCAACATTGGAACCTTTCTGCAGGAGTCCTAAAATCAGCAGAAAGATTTGGCATAATTTGTTTCAGAATGAAGACTACTCACAAATAGCTAGAATAACATATAGTTCTGTAAGGCAAGGGCTTTTCTCTGACAGATGAAAAGTGCAGAGAATACCACCTCTTCTGTGGGTCTGTGCTTTGGGAGTGATTCTTAGAGAACGTTGATTAGCAATGCAGCTCCCATCTCCCTGTATGTTGCCCACACCAACATCAGTACAGCCTGAGCTAGTTAGGATACAGGGTATGGCGAACAACCAGAGTCAGATTACCAAGTGCTCTGGGGTGCTGTAAAGTTTGCAGGCTTTGGACCTGTGTTGCCCACATTGCAGTCCTGGCACTTCTAGGTTCCTGCATTTTACTGTACCCACTTGTAAAAGAGGACCCTAATAGCATCTACCTCATGGAATTGTCATGAGCATTTATTGTTCAGCATATTTAATACAGTTAAAACAATGTGTACCCCAGAGTAGGTGCCATGAATTACCTGACAAGATTATCCTTGTTGTTATTCATAATAAAATGAAAACTGAATTTTATGATACTGTTACATGTTTTTATACCTTGATATTTTTACTGCCCTCATGAAACAAATAAACACTGAAGTTAGGATGTTTAAAACATAAAGGAAAATAAAAATAATCACAAATTGTCCATGCTGCGATTTAAGTTAAAACTTAATTGTGAGATAATTGTTATTTTCTGACTTCTTGGCCTTTGTTGGGACCCTCTTTTTCAATCATTGCAAGTTCAGATCAGTATAGTGAAAGATAGGATTATTTTACATTTGGCTTGTTAAAACTCAAAAAACTTTAAGATCTAGAGACTTTCCCACTATAAAATCACACAAGTCTTAAATCATATTAGAAAGATTTTATTTGTTTGCTTGTTTATTTGAATGAGTATGTGTCCATTCCAGATTCTTTTATTAAAAAGATGTGTGATTTGTATGCAAGTCTCTTCACAGCTTATTTGCACAGGGGTCCTCCTGTGTCTTCCATCTCCGTTGTAGTGATTCATTACGGGTGCATGGTGCTTCCATGGGTTTGTGTTGTCATCTAGAAAGACAGAGAATCTCTTGGGTCAAAGCAGGTGTGCTCAGACTCACCAGAATAAGGAAAGCAGAGCTAATGGAGAGACGTGTCGATTAAGGAAGAGCTCTGGCCTCACTGTTGGTACAGCCTGTCAGGAAGGTTTCTTTCCTCCCCTACCTCTTGCTTTTCTGTGAATCTTAAGAATGATAAAATTCTTAGCTTTTTCATCTCCATTTTTCTTCAGCTATAAGATATGGTATTTGTTCCTATATCTAATATTAAATTAAATGTTTGAAATAAAATTGCAAGCATTTAACAACTTGGATCCCATAATGGATACGCTGAAGAATGTGCATTGACTTTTGCAGTTTCATTCATCTGCTTTGTACATGAGTGTCAGCTGTAAAACTGTTATTTGTGTACTGCTTTTGTGACAGACATTTGTGGTATGGATTTTTTTTAAAGTTTGCTCTTTTTTGCGTCAGGTTTTTTTTTTGTTTTTGTTTTTGTTTTTGTTTTTTCCCTGAGAACTGACTAAAGCTTTGTTGTTTTCACCTGCCATCCATTTTAAAACTGCTTCTCCCCTCTTCGTGGATTATAACCCTTACCCTAATTCTGCCTTTACACTTGTTCAGGATCACAATCTGCTAATACCATTGGTGGTAAGAATCTACAGACTTTATGTGTGCACCTCTTGTTTGTTCACCTATTCTCATCAACAAGAATGAGTTCTATTCAGCAGAAACTCTTACTGCATAATACTCAACTATTCTGTGATTGTATTGGAACAAAAGCTGCTAGTCGTGAGTTCTCTTTGGCCTGTCTTTCTAATACCATGAAAGCTCTAAAAATTTTGAAATTATCCAAGTTGACTCTACAGATATAAATATTAAGAAGAGAGAGGAACCTATAGTAGTAACATTTTGAAATGTTACAGTGCAACAGAAAATAGTTACTCAAGTTGAAGTTTTGCCTCTGGGGCATTTCTATTCTATGTTGCTCTCTGGGATAAGCATGCGTTTTCTTCAACTCTGATGGCTCTGCTAGAGAAAGTGCCTCAGCATGTTAAATATAAATGATTCCAAATGAGCCGTAGGCACTGGAAGTGTCTCGTTCTTTGAGTGATCAAAGGATAATGGAAAAGAGAGGACAGTGTGTACATGAAATGAACACTTCCGGCTTCCTTCCCTAAGGTGAGGGGATGTGTGAGCTTAAATATCTAGAGAGTGAACTTGCACAGGATTCATCAATTTGGTACATGCAAAGTAGAGAGAACGTCAATTTGCTAATAGATGGCACCCTCCTGTCTGCTGAATAGACCCACATGTCAAAGAATTTGTTAGTTCCCCTCCCAGTACCCCACCCACACAAGTTTATGACTGATTTTAACAGAATGCATACTGTATGTACTCGGTTCATTATAGCTTTTATATCATCACAAGTTTCTCATAACATCCATCGGCCTATCGTGCATTGTGAGTCTGTGGCATGTTGGGTGTTTGGGTGTTTTTGTGTGTATGTTTAGTTTACATATTGCATGGAGAAAATAAATGCCTCAGCAATACTTGAAAGAAGAAGAGAGACACTAGATTTGAAGATTCTTCACCTGCAAGTTCATGAAACTTTTGAATGATCATTTTAAAGTAGACTAGAGTAATTTCCCTATAATTTAGAAGTCTTCTACTCAATCAGTAATTTGTTAATTTCACAGGAAGCAATGCTTCTTCATTTTATAATAGTGCTATCCTTGGTGGAATATATTTTATTTTGTGTGCTGAAAATATTTTAAAAACTAACCAAGAATATGAGTTGAACTAAGCAAATGATGCCGAGAAACCTTAACAATAAGGATAACGGCAGGCCCCATCCAGCTTGTTCATTGTCTTTAACTTGCACTGAGTGGCAAAATCAGGAGTTCCCAAGAACTTGTTAAAGTTACTTGCTGGCTAGGATTAGAAATGGCATCTTCCATGAGAAAGATAAGATAGTCCTCTAAAGCCCTCGAAAATACCTGCCTGGTATGCAGTGCCAGTTTTGTTTTTTTGATGGGTGGTTTTGGTTTTGGTGGGGTTAATTTTTGGTTTTGGTTTTTGGGTTTTTGTTTTTTTAATTTGGTTTCTCTGTGTAGCCCTGGCTGTCCTAGACTTTCTCTATAGACCAGACTGGCTTCAGACTCACAGAGCTGTACCTGCCCCTGCCTCCTCAGTGCTGAGATTAAAGGCGTGCACCAGCACTGCCCGACACACGCTACTGTTTTGACAGCCAGTATTCATCCCCGTTGGCATTTGAGTCTTGAACCTACTGGGTAGAAATGAGGCACAGTTGAACGTGTCACATACGAGGATGCAGTGTGACAGTGCCTCTTAACATCGTAGTAAAAGTGGGTAACAGAACATTTATTTCCCCGAAGATTTTTTTAAATGCAAGTTTTCTAAAATATTGCCATTCAGTTGAGCATCTAGTTCTTTTTCTTTTATTCAGTGTACACATAAAACACTTTGATTGACAAGGTAGCCTTTATGTTTTTAGTTTAAAAATAGGTTTCTTTCTGGGTATGATATTACATACCTACCACCCTAGGATATAGGATGTACAGGCAGAAGGATTGCTTCAAATCCCAGAGCAATCTAAGATATACAAGAAGGCCCTATCTAAGAATTCATTTTTTACCTTTGCTTAATCCATACACAGGCCTCTGAGAGTTAATCTAGCTCTCCCTCTCTACTCCCTGACCATATATCCGACTTCTGCGCTGCTTCGCTCTAAATTCTGGTCTACTCTTGGGACTTGATATCCTAGAATGTAACTAACCGAGAGCCCTCTGCCTTCAACTAGCCAAGAGAAATTTCTCTTCCTCAGCTGGCCAATTTAGTCAGTACTTAATTTAAATTTAGTGTTTTTAGTTATTTTTGACAGTTTCATCTACTGTTTACAATGTGTCTTAGCCATATAGTCTCCCTACCTTTGCTCTCTATTGTCCCCCTTTAATTTCATGTCTTTTAAAAAAAAATTGCTGAGTCCAAATAGTGTTACCAGTATGTGCAAGGATGCAGCGAGGCAGTGTGCCCTTGTAGGCCCACACCATGGGGCAGCAGGGGGACTCTGCCTTCTCCATTAGCCACAACTGTCAAAAGCTCTTGAGCTGGGACTAGGGCCTCACGAGCCCTTCCTCCATTTATGCATGCTGGAATGTTAGCCAGTCAAGTGTAGCCAAAGCTGTGAGGTAGTGAATATAGTCGTTATGTCATAGCCCCCAAACCACATTTCACAACACTGTTTCCCCTAGCCCCTTACATTCTTTCCATAACTCCTTCAGCAACGGTTCCGGAACCTTGGTGTAGGGAGACCTTAATAAAGAAGTCCCATTTAGTGCTGAGCACTCAACAGTTACATAGTCTGAGCTCTTTGTCTAGTTCAGAGTCTCTGAATTAATCGCTGCACACTGCAGAAAGAACCATCTCTGACCAGATTTGAAAGCAGCACAGTTTTTAATTTTGTAAAATTTAAAAATATGAATAACACCAAATGACCATGCCCATTCAGCTATTTCATGAGGGAAACTATTTTAAGAAACAGCAAGTTGTCACTGTATGTTCAAGACACAACTAGTAGCCGTAAGAATGGAAATAAGAGTTTCCATCCTTGTAAGTAATGCTTTTCCACAGAGCATCTAAGACTCAGGAAACACACTGTCAAATATGGGATTGCTCTGGGGATCCTTTTACAGTTTGTCTTAAAAAATCCCACCAGTACTGCCATTATCAAGCATATGCTTGAGGTGGCTTATTCCTCAGTGCTGGCATATGCAGCGCATTTTTCCTCAGAAAGTTACATCTGTATATAAATCTCAGTCCATTTCTTTGGTCTTAGAACCTGCCATGATATCAGTTTTCTTGTGTCTTTACAAGCTACCTTGAGATCAATGTTTGCATATTTTTATGTGTTTCCTGTTTAGCTGGCAGCCGATCTGGGTCTCCAGGAAGAGTTCTAACCACAACAGCCCTCTCTACTGTGAGCTCTGGTGCTCAACGAGTCCTGGTCAATTCAGCTTCAGCACAGAAGAGAAGCAAGATACCAAGGAGCCAGGGCTGCAGCAGAGAGGCCAGCCCATCTAGGCTTTCAGTGGGTAAGACTCTGCAGTACCACCTTTGGCTTCCTCGAAAGTTCAAGGAGAATTAAAGTTTCAGTTGCTGCAGTATATGAGTTGAATCTTGAAAGTGTAAGAACTTTGAAAGGGGGCCTAACATTGTAAAGCCCAAGATCACTGTGTTTGTTTTGTCAGCTCTAATCTATTGTCTTAGAGCTAACAGTTAATTTTTACTCTGAAGTTGAAACATGGCACAGGGGGAAAGAGCGCTTGCTGCTTTGGCATAGGATCTGTGTTTGGTTCTCACCATCCATATTACATATTAGGCAGCTAACAACCACCTGTAGCTCCAGTTCCCAGGGTTTTGGCACCATCATCTGTCCTCTGTAGCTATTCTCACACATGTGGCGTGCACTTCCACAGACACACATGCACGCATAAATAATCTTTTTTTATGTTGTGAATATTTGGGCACAGTGACTGATGCCTGAGCATACTATCTAATCTCAAGGCAAAGAGTAAAGTTTACTGCCAGGACACAGCCTGCCATGACCCCACCTCTTCTAACAGTACACGAAGTGCTGTGGTGTGGAAGGAACTGCCCCTACTGTACAGAAACAAGCTCTGCTCTGAGCCTTGCCAGTCGCTCAAGTCAGGCCCATCACAGCTGTTTGCCCCTGCACTGAGGCTCCCTAGGTGTTCTCCCAACAGTCTCTGACTTTTCCTTTATCTTGAAACTATATAAAAGAGCCATATTCCCTTCTCCTATCTTTAGTGACATTGTCCTCTCAGGAAGACTCATGATGTGTGGAGCATCTTCTTCTGTGGGCTCTGGCCTGGTGCTGTAGCTCAGCCATCACTCGGAGACTCCTTTTCACTTCTTTCCTGGGTTGGATAGACTCATCCTTGGATCATTTCTTTTTTCTTGATTTACTCATTTGCTTTGCCTCATACACATTCTCAAACTCCTCAGAAATGGTTTAGAAGTCCAGGTTTTTGTAGCTGCATAAGAATGTCATCGTTCAATTAAACTTCCTTTAGGCCTACAGACATAGAACTGAGGTCCTTAGCAGCACCAAGGGTTTCTGAGACTTTCATCCTCACTGCTTTGCTTCTGTTTGCTTTCCAGACATTATTAGATTCTTTATTATACCTTCAGTCAGTACTCTCAGGTTATTTTGGCTTTTTTAAATCTGTTATTTGTATTTTGTGTTTTTATGTATAAGGAGTGAAAAAGGTCTATGAGTTGATGAAAGCTTCATAGTTTGAGATTAGCCTGGGCTCCATGGTTCCATAGGCTCAGTCTGAAAAGAGAAAACAATCGATCCCAAAACAAACAAGCTTTTTATTAATCAGTTATTTAAGAAAGAAAGAGAGAGAAAGAGGGAAGGAGGGAGGGAGGGAGGGAGGGAGGGAGGGAAGAAAAGAAGACTAAAATTTTGAAAGCTTAAATCTGCCTTTTGTTTTCTCTTGCTATGCTGCTGCCATCCTGTAAGCCCGCAGCAGCCGTATTCCTCGGCCGAGTGTGAGTCAAGGCTGTAGCCGGGAAGCTAGCCGAGAGAGCAGCAGGGACACGAGTCCGGTCCGCTCTTTCCAGCCGCTTGGTGAGTGTCTGATCAGGTGGGAGGCACTGCTTCCCTGGTGACTGCGCCATGCCTCTGAGGTTTAGTGTTCCTCATCAGTTGTATCTTTGCTGGCATTTTCAGGTGAGAGTCCAAAGGAGGGAATACATTTCAGTAATGCCACTGCCCTTTGTAACTTACCTCAAGAGAGCAAGTCAATCATGATATATATGGATTCCTGTCGTAATCAAGTCAGTGTCACACAGATGTAAATTCAGAATATTGAATTTAATTTCTTCACTAGAGAGGCTGAGTCAGGATCACAAACAACACCAGCCTAGTCTACATACTTGTCTCTAAGATACACAGGAAAAAAGGAAGATTGAATTCAAAACCTGTAGAATTAGAACATATGAGACTGATAGAGGCAGACAGACAGACAGAAGTGATGTCCAGAGGGGCCTTTTAAAGGCTGTGCATATCTCATAGGGAAAAATCACAATTCACAGCAACAGTGAAACGACCCACACTTGGTGGTGGTGATGGCTGGTGACATAAACTGCTGGTGCTGAGTTGCTGAAAGGCAGGCTGAAGGAGCGCCTCATTCTCAGTATTTCTTCTTTTGTTTATTATAAAAGATGAGGAAATAAGAAAAGTTGATGCTAAGACAGTAATGAGGGTGCTTTGCCCTTTAGACTGCTTCCTGCTGTTTGGGAGGTGGCAGCAACATCTTTAGCTACCCAAGAAAACCAGGGTGTTGGCCAAGTTCCATGAGAGTTGGCTGTTGGAGTCAGGGTCCAGGCTCTGCGGGACCATCCAGGGCTAGGAAAGTGTAGGCCTGGTTGAAACAGTCTGTGAGACTAGACCACCTGGTGCTAACCTCTTTGAAGCTGTCCAGTATGCAGATTTTGAGGGATTTACCTGGACCTGGCAGGATACTGGAACACATAGATATGTTAGAGCAAAAGAAAAAGAAAGAGTTGAGGAGAAATTCTTTTTCTTAGGTGTACAATTGAAACTTTTAGACCTCTGTTCCTGGTAGTTGAGGGAAGAAAGTCCCAGAATTAGGAAAAGGGAGAAATATCCCACCCTGTTGACTGATGGGAGGACTTACCTGGGGTGCCTTTGACCCATAAGAGGTGGATTCAAATAGATTCCTTGAAGGTTACAGCAATTTTCTAAGTTTACAGTAAGGTAAGTTTTAGACATGTTAGCATTAGCACTGTTTGTATTCTGTTTTGAGATCCACATTGTGGAAAAGGCAATAGACTCATACCTTTGTGTCATAGTAGAAGCTGGGGAAACAATTTGGGTTAAAAGTGTGAACACTGCTGAAGGCATGCTCTGCAAGGACAGAGACCTCCCATGCAGTGGGGGGAAGCTCATTTCATCCTGATTTTTAGTAGAAGACAGACCATGAGAGCGGGGCTTCTTTCCTCTATTCAGAAGACTGGATGAATACAGAGTAGACAGATGGTTTTAGCACAGTGAGAAGCACCTTTTAAGTTTATACTCGAAGACAATCAAATTTATATCTAAAGGAAAACCGTTTTTTTCCCACCGCCCTGGCTCTGCACTGTGGCTTCAGCTATCTAGAAACACCAGCCCTGGCACTCACGAGACACCAGCGTGAGGGATGGCTCTGCCAATCCACCACTCTGTGTGCACAAAGTTCAGCTGAACCTCAGACAATACCTACCATGCTCACGGTACCCAGTAGAAATGAGATTCTCAAGGCTTAATAATTAACTAAAGGATTTATATGTTCGGAAATGCTCAGTTAACAAGATGCCCACACAATTAGGGTTGTTACCCAATACCTAACCTTTAGATATAAATTGTTACCCAGGACTGCTCTCAACCATCTCGTCCTCCTCCATCGTTGCCAGTCTCCTCCTCCCTCCCCACTCGTCTCCTCCCCTTCCTCTCCTTCTGTCCTTCTTGTCTCTCCTTCTGACTCCTCACTCCGCCTACCTCTCATACAGCCCAGTCGCCGAGCCTTATTACAAATATAGTGGGAAAATATCCCACTACAATATCAGTTGAGGTGAACAGTGTTTTCGTTTGGGCCATCATCTTCTTTGGAAGAGATCATGGGGGTGCTGCCAGGAACTGGCAAGTGTCTATCATGAGAAGGTTTTTATTGAACATCCTGTATTCTGTAGCTCCCTGAAGCAGTTGAGGACCATTTTCTAGTAACTATATCTAAACTAGACAGACTTGGCTTGTTTCTAGTTACTTGTTCTTGGCTTAACTTTATAAACATGTACAGGAGACCAGAGCTGATTCCTGTAATTAATTACATTAGGACTTCGCATGACCACAAATACAGTTCTGAACACATTAAATAATTTGATCAATATAAGGTGACTGACCACTAACTTAAGATAATAATTTTTAATTATCCTTAACAATTTATAATAATTGAGTAGCTTTTGTAAGACTAGGACTTTACTTTCCATTCCTGTTAGGTTTGACCTTAAAAATAACAATTTCAAATCGAAGTTGTTCTGTTATCAAAATAAAATTTTTAACCATAGACACAATTCATAGACTGACAACTTTGCTGATTCTTCTATAGTGTACCATTATAGAACATTGCAATTTATTCTGTGGCTTGGTTTTTCCATAGCTAAAGCTTAAAAGATAAAGAAGCTCAAAAGATACTACTGTAAACCTGAGTAGACCTTAGGAATGTATAATTCTTGATTATCACATATATCTTATTTATCAAATACATGTTGTTTCTTATGTAAATTTTCTACCACCTTGTTGTTAACCAGTTAGCAAAAACTAAGTAGGTAGACATATATCTTGAATTAGCTTTTACTAATCTGAATAGACCTTTATAACCTTAAATTTTTATCACCATATATAGTATATTCTAGACCAGAGTTGAATCACATATATAGTATGTGTAGCAAATATAACAAATTTTTATCATCATACAAGAGTCCATAGTAATCCAAAATATTTAAGACTTGTCACTGCTTCCTTACTCTAAAAGGAGTACAATGCTAAATAGACAGCTCATTATGACTAAGAAGTTTTATACAAGTGTTGCTTAATACTATGTGGTCATCTTAAGATGGTGAAGTCATCTAGCATGTACTCTTTCATCTTAGTAAGATAGTTGCAAACCATGTGGCTGCTTACGTCCTGGTAAGCTCACCAGCCAAGGGGAAGGAGAGCCACAAGGTTGAGGTATATGTATATGTATATGTATATGAATATGTATATGTATATGTATATGTAATAAGAGTTGGATCCAGGTTACATACACACCTACATGCAGAGTTTGTGAAGGCCATCCTATAGGAAAGGCAAAAGTGATTCCTATTATAAAAAATACTTACCAGTTCTCATTAATCATATGATATGAGTAGGATGATATTAAAATGAAAGAAATGTATCTTATTAAACATTAAAATACATTTATGTTGTAGTTTATTTCTGGATATAAGACGGGTCAGTTTTACGTGCTGTCAATCTGAACAGAGGTCTGAACTAGAAAGTATGCAGAGTTTAGGTCATAGAGTTTATTAGGAGCACACATTTCTAGTGGGTTTTGTTAGGGTATTAATAGTCTTTTTCAATGCACACAGCTTCCATTTTTCAACAGTTTATTCCCAGATGTAGGACTAATGTTCTTTGGACCATTATGAATAAAATGTTCCTTAACATAAATGAAGTAAATGATTTTTGACTAATTTGAAATTTGTGTACTTGTAGAAACAGAGATCTTGGAAGAATTCAGTTACAGTTACAGCAGTTAATAGTGTGCTTTCATCACACATGTCAACCTGTGCTCCAAATTCCCATATGTCTTAGTCTGTTCAGGCTGCTATAACATGCTATAGCTCAGTACTTCTAAGTGACCAGGACTTATTTCCACGGTTTTGAGGCTGAGATGTTGAAGATGAAGGTACCCAGTGTCTGCTGAGGGCCCTTCTGCCTCCTGGATGGTGCCTCTGTAGATGTGCTGAGCTCTCTGGGGTGCCTTTAATGCTCTCATGACCAGGTTGCCTATCAGAAACACCACCTTCCTTTAACACTTGGGGTCAGTATTTCAGCATATGAATAGAGGGGCACGAAACTCTAGACATAAAATCGAAATAACTCTCACTGGGTATTGAGAGTAAAGGAGATAAGATTATTATTAGTTACCATAGTGGTTTTTTTTTACTACAAGTGTTTGTTTTTGTTTTGTTTTCATGCTTGTACTTTTGACATTTCCCTCCATTTGAATACTTGCCTTTTCTGTCTCCTATAGCCTATGTCCATCCACGTAGGTGTAATTCGTATTTGTGTCAGGATTGATCTCGCAATGCTCCTTGATGTTCTGTTGCCATGTGTGGCGATACTCTGATCACTAACTATGAGAGTACCACCACTGTTAACTAACTCTCCTTGCCTGACAGTAGTGCTGCCACTATTCCTTGTCTCTGTGGTGATAGATGAGGTTTGTATGGTCCTGTTATTCCAGCCTCCAGACACCATTCCAGATCCACTGGTGCCCTCTACGCCCCCGATGTGTGTGGGGCCTCAGGTGAAGGATGAGTACATTTTCACTGTCATCTCTGCATTCATCTCAGAGTCTGTCCCTTTCTGTTTTCATCACATCATATTCATTTTAAAGTTGATTTGTGTTATGTAAATTTAATTTATTAGAGAATAAATCACTTATGTTTTTCCCTCAAGTAACTATCCTTCCTCCCTTTAGCAACCCCTTAGCGTTTTTCTAACTGGCAGATGGGCATTGGTTTTTTTGTTTGTTTATTTGTTTGGTTTTTTTGGGTACAACTTGTATCATTTTTTTAATATAGAATTGTTTTATGTTCTCAGTTATGTACTTCATCTTTATATATGTATGTTTAAAAAAAAAACCAAAATGGTGGATGAAGTGTTTTAATTGTATACAAAACAGTTGGTGGGCAGGTGAGAATTCATGTCTAGTTTGTCTATACATGTGAGACCATCGGGCACTAAGTAGTCACTTAATGGTTACTGAACAGTCTGTTTTAGCCAAAGAATAAAATCAGTTTTCCTGAGGAGATACTACTATTAGAACTTTTCTTGTGGTGAGTTGCTGGTGTGACTTCATAAATCTCCCCTTGACTGTTATTGAAGAGGGAGTTCTGGGTTACTTTCTGGTTCACGTCATTTGGAGAGCCTTGCCTGAACTGGCAGAGCCGTCTTCTCCCTCTCCTACTAAGTAAACAGTGGTTCTTCTTTAAATTTGCTTCTCATTTGTGAATAATTTTGACTGCCTTTTCCCTTTTACTTGACCAAAATCTCATTGTGCCCAGAAAAATACAATATTGCTTTTAAAATGCTTTGTCCCATTGGTTTTTTTTCTTTCCCCCTTAATAAGAGTTAACCACCCTTCCCCCAGCCCCTAACCCTTGCATTTTTATGTTTGTGACTGTCTAAAAGCTGTTTTCCTTTTTTTCCTGACGAATTAGGTCCTGGATATGGGATCAGCCAGTCAAGCCGGTTGTCTTCTTCTGTCAGCGCCATGCGGGTCCTAAACACGGGCTCTGATGTAGAGGAGGCGGTCGCTGATGCCTTGGTACTTTTCTCCATTTTCCTATCTGTATGGCTATTCCTACTCAAAGCCACTGTGTGGGAGAGGGATGGGGAATGCTAGATTAAACCTACCCAAAGTGTAGGCAGTGTAAGTAGGAGAGTAGTGCATTAATGATTAATCCTTCCTAATATTCAGAATTTTAAGCCAGTTCCAGTAATCTTAACTATGTATCAGGAACAAAAATCTTTTGTTGTCTTTAATATTAGTGTTATATTTAATACACTGTAGTGTACTGATTATATGGCAAATAGATCAGTGCATTTGTGTATATATACTTACGAGCATGTAATTTCAAGGTTATCTTCACATTGAGTTTATAGGGCATTGATTTGTTTTTGAGGCAGGGTTTTACTGTGTGACCTTGGCTGTCCTGGAACTCTCTGTGTAGACCCTGCTGCCCTTGAACTCACAGAGAACACTCCTGAGTGTTGAGATTAAAGGCATGTGCCACCATGCCTGGACCAATTTATCTAAGATATTTTCCTAGTTCTTTATGCTTCACATATTAAACAGTTAAATTTGAAAACACTGCAGGGTTGGGGTAGTTGTAAGAAGAATGCAGTCTACCGTATGGATACACATATGTGTGTCCGCTGTTCTCACATAAAATTATGAAGACTTAAAATGATGATGTATGTGCTGTTTGTTTGGTTGACTTCCCTACTCAGTCCAATATAACTCTTTCTCTTTCAAAGTATGGCTTACAATTAGGTGTGTAGTTGACTGGTAGAGCATTTGGCTTAGTATGCACAAGGCCCTGAGCTCAAGGTGACTCAGATTATGATGATAGTAATCCTGTTTCAAAGTATTTATTCATTTTCTCTATTGGGGATGTGAGGATTGATATTAGCATTAGACTCAGAGCCCTGTTGATGCTGAATGTCTACCTGGAGTCTATGAAAGGTCCCATCCTTGGTGGTTCCCTCTGCAAGAGCCTGTGCATCTCAGGCAAACAGCACACCTCTGAGTTAGCTCCCTGGACCCCTCAGCTTTGTTTTGAAATTTAGAAGTACAAAACTCACCTAACAAAAAACAAACAAAACAAAACAGACCGATTTTGTGAAAAATAATTTTAGCTGTAGAGGTGAAAGGCACATTTTAAACATTGATTGTTAATAGCTATAATTTATTGCATCTCCTCACATGTGATAATAACACTGTTGACTTTCTGTTTTTACCTCAGCTGCTAAAGTATTTGAACTGATATTAGTTAGAGACTCTGTTCTTCTGAACCCAAGATGTGTGCATCACCTTCTCTGATGTCATCATATGTTTTAGTTCTTACTATTCCCAAATCATGTTTTTCAGGTTGCTTTTTTGTTTGTTTGTTTGTTTGTTTTGTTTTTTGGTTTCTTTTTTGTTTAACAATTTACTGTTTAACTAATTCTTGTATAGTTTTAGGGATTGACTTTGTCATTCTTGGGTTGCTGTTTATGCAAGTAAAATGATAGCTTTAAGTTATGTGGAAATATTTAACCAAAAAAAAAATGTTGTCAGATTATTTTTACATATATGGAAGTTTTGCCCAAATGCACATCTTTGCACCATTTGCAAGCCTTATGCCTATGGAGGCCTGAAGAGGGACCAGATCCCCTGAAACTGGAGGTATAGATGGTTGTGAGCTACCATGTGGTTGCTGGGACTAGAACTCAGGACCTCTGGAAAAGCAGTCAGTACTCTTCATCCCTGAGTCAGCTTTCCAAGTCCTTTCGTTTTATTTTATATTTTGAGACAAGGTCTCACTATGTGATTCTGGGTAGCCTGGAACTTGCTCTATAGACCTGACCAACTTGAACTCACAGAGTTGAGATTAAAGGTATGCACCACCATTGAAGATGTTAGCAATGCTATCATAGATCAGAGCTGTAATCCTCGGAGTCTACTTTCATCATTTGTATAGCACAGATGTAACCATCAAGTGTACGGTTACATAAACAATTACAAATTTCCAACACTAAACCAAAGTTGTACCTTGGAAAATAAAGTTTAATTTATAAATGGCAAAAGGTCTGTAACTAAGAAGAATAGTTTGAGTTTCTTTGAGAAACTAGTGTTTTGTTTGTTTAGCTTTTTGGTTTTGTAGGTTAGGTCTCTGAACTGAAGGACACTGACAGGACTAGACATAACTCTGATAGTAAGCAGTTCTTTGATATCTGTGGTATACAACTGGGTATTTCTAATTGTAGGCATTGCTAATACCAATTCACTGTGCTCTTTAGCAAAATGTTCTTCACTATTTTCAATTTCTCTCTTTAAAAATTGACTGCTCTCAGCTCTTAGGAGACATACGGACTAAGGTATAGACACCGCTATTTTCTGACACCTTATGATATCATAGTTTGTTTTCTTTGCTTCATCAACTTAACAGATAATAGTTGTCTATAAAAAATTAAAGTGGAAGTAATAAAATCTTGAGCTGTCCATCTATTACTCTGTCATTGTGATTATCTGTGGGGGATACTGACTGAACATAGTGTCTTAGAGAGGTACCACTTTTTCACACCTGAGATGAGTCATTTATACTGGAGTCTTTAATTGACCTGGTCCTCGTGCCTATCTGTGTAAACATTGTTATTCTAAATTGAGTTAGTGTCTGTAGATCAGTACAAGAGTTAATGATGGTAGCAGCTTTGTAAAAGTATTTGGTTATTTGTGTTCAGATAGTACATCTTTAAAATTTTTGGACTAGAGATCTATCTGTAGATGCTTGGACCTTTTGAGTTGCTGTACTTGGTGTTTTTCATGGCAGTAGCCCCACAACTCCCTAGCCAAATCCAAGTATCCAAGCATGTACACTGGTTTCCAGTTTCTTCATGGAATTCTCAAGGAGCTGTTTACCTCGTGACACTTTTAATATCAAAGTCATGATTGGCAGTAAAATAAAATATAAACCTTCCAGTTAAGAAATCAAAGGAACCTCAACTGCTTTCTCATACAGAATAAGCTTTAGAATATAGATTATGTTGGGAAAACTCTAAGGACATAATCATCTTGCTTTCAAAAAATCCGTACTTATCTTGAAGACATAAAAGTTGGAACAGTGGGGGAAAATGGAAAAGGGGAGATATGTATATAGTCAGGAAAGAACATAGTGTTTTATGTAAGAGAATTGTGGTTTTATTCCCCTCAAAAGGTAGTATTTTCTTATTACCAACTCATATTTCTAGTGTAGTTTCTATTAACTTACATTCTATTTGTTCTTGCTTTTCCATGTAAAGGAGAAAGCATATGCTTTAGAGCACTTCCCACTTGACATATCTGGGCTTGCTCAAGTCACTTCTCCTCTACTGTCGTCATAGTTAAACAGTTCGTGTTCTACTAACTTCTAAAGCACTTCTTGAAGTGAAACTAAATATTGACATTTTATCTTTACAATGGTTAGCAGCATGTCCTCCACTGTTCTAAGACAGAAACAGTCCTTTTGTGTTAAGTAAACACTATGAAATACCCATATGTTTGTAACTACTGCTAATGTAGTTCTTGATATGTAACAGAAAAAACCTGCTCGAAGAAGGTATGAATCATACGGAATGCACTCAGATGATGATGCCAACAGCGATGCTTCTAGTGCGTGTTCAGAACGCTCCTATAGCTCTCGAAATGGTAGTATTCCTACCTACATGAGACAGACAGAAGACGTGGCAGAAGTCCTCAACAGATGTGCTAGTTCCAATTGGTCAGAGAGGAAAGAAGGCCTCTTGGGTCTGCAGAACTTGTTAAAAAACCAGAGAACGCTAAGGTGAGAAGTGTCATGAAGTATATGTTCTAGCAGGCTAGCGCCTTCTGACTTGGCTTTGTGAAATGTGTCAAAAATTACATCAAAAGTTTTCCCAAGCCATATTCCTTTAGGGCCACCAGTGTGGTAACTCACTAAAACTGCTTTGATTTTCTTTCCCTAGTTACTGAAACATTTTAAACCTTTCAGGTTTGGGAGATGTCTTACTGAGGGAAGTGCTTGCTTTGCAAGTGTGAGGGCCTGAGTACAGGTTTTCTAGAAACCATACAAAGCTGGACACACTAGCACATTGTTTCCCTGTGTTTCTATGGAAAGATGGAAGGTGGAGACAGGAGAATAGCTGGAAACTCACAGGTCAGCTAGTCTTGTGGGCACAGCAGCAACACGAGAAAGGCCCTGTCTGAGACATGAGAAGGCAAAGAGTGACACCTAGGACATCCACCACATGAGCACACACCACACAGACAGAGAGTTAAAAACAAAACACTTTTTCATTCAAAACAAATTTGGCAATATGTTACTAACTTTGGAATTCAAAGTAGGTCCAATTATAGAGGTTATAGGTGGTAGAGTACTTTTCTTAATGGTTTAGTTTACCTCATTCTTACGTCTTTCACTGTCCTTATGGATATGATGTTTTAAACCTATGTGATTGACTCCTTAAGAACCCAGCTTTCACCTAGGTGTTTGGGCACATGCCTTTAATTCCAGTGCTATGGGAGGCAGAGGCAGGTATATCTCTGAGTTCAAGACCAGGATGGGCTACAAGTGATTTCAAGGCCAGCCAGGGAGACACTGTCTCAAACAAAACAAACAAAATCCAGATTTCAAATTATTCATAGGTGTTAGTGTGGTACAAATGTAGAAGGCTGACTTCTCACTTAATAATAGTAACACTGGTGTTTGATGTAATTTCTTTTTATATATTTTAAGATGTATTAGAAATACATAGTTCAAAACCATTGTTTATTTTTATGCTACCTAATGTATTAATTTTCGGGTACACATATCATACTTCATGACTCAGTGCAAATAGATCATAATATCAAGCATATTAGGTGCAACATTTCATTTTAAATGGAAAAGAGAAAGGGCAGTTTGGAAAAAGGTAGAACTTAAACATTGTAACACTTAGTAAAAATCACCTGCGGCTTGCTACAGTTTGTTTCATTGCCGGCCTCACAGTGTGGGTTGCAGCAGAATTTTTACTGCATTTTACATCTGTACATTTATCCTAGTCTGATAAATCCACAGATTTCTCAATTTTGAGGAATAATTTGTATAGCCTTTTTGTTGTCATTTAATTATTTGTAGGCTTACTTTTAAATGACTTCATCCTATAGCAAGATATTAATCAACCTTTTTTTTATTGTTTTTTGTTTTTTTGGGGGCAGTCGAGTTGAACTGAAAAGATTATGTGAAATTTTCACAAGAATGTTTGCAGATCCTCATGGCAAGGTATGTTTTAGTGTTTAAGATTATTTATTTCTATATGGTATCAAAAAAGTATAGTAGTAAAAGAATACTATAAGCCGTTGGTAGTGATATTTTCAAACATAATTTCAGTTGTTTCGTATCATGCATAGTTTAGAAATTGTTTTTTTTATCCATTCATAAAGCTTCTTTAAAGGAAGATTGAGGGGTGCGGTTAGAATCTCAACTCTATGATTTAGAGTAAGAATGCTATGCAGGCTAGATGGTCACTCAGTAGAATCTAGATTTTTTACCACTAGAAACAGAAGTTTAAAATGTTAGCTGTGGGGCCTATCACCAGTGGAACAAGCCTTTAATCCCAGCACTCCAGAGGTAGTGGCAGGCAGATCTCTGAGTTTGAGGCCAGCCTGGTGTACAGAGTGAGTTCCAGGACAGCCAGGACTACACAGAAAAACACTGTCTCAAACAACCAAAACAAATTAAATAAGTAAATGAATGAATAGAATAGAATGAAATGTCAGCTGTGGGGCTGAAGTGTCAGCTGAAGGGGTAAGAGCACTTGCTGCTCTTACAAGGGAATGGAAGAACAACCAATTCTTTGGTGGTGGTGGTGGTGGTGGTGGTGGTGGTAGTGATGGTGTTTTGATGTTTGATTAGTTCTTTGTTTCTTGAGACTGGATGTCACTGTGTAGCCTTGGCTGGCCTCAGACTCAGAGATTCACCTTGCTCTACCTGTAAGGTTGGGGTTAAAGATGTATACCACCAGACAGAGCTTACAGATAGTCAGTGCTCTTAAACTACAGATCCATCTCTCCAGCCCCAGGAACCTATGTTGTTTAGATCATGAAGGTTAACTGACTGAAGATTAGGAATACAGAAGGGAGAAATGTACCAGCACCCTCTAGAGAGTCCTGACCTGCTCTCACCACATCTGGTCCATATTTCTTCTCTCAGTACTCAGCTGGGCCTCAGTCTTCCTCCTCCTCTTGGTTCTTATTTAGTCCTTCACTGTAACTGGATCTAACACTCCTAAGTCTCCTAAGACCCCTGCCACATTTCTCTCCTTGCCTGTCTCTTCTGCATGGATGCCAGCCCTTAAGCAGGAACTATATTTTCTGCCTCTGACCATCTTCCTTCCTGCTAAGATAGAAGGAGCTCTCACCTTGAAATGCTTGTTCACTACAGGCATGGACATCCATCTCTTGTGATATTAAACTCAGAGACATCTCAACCCCTACTGCTGTAACCCTTTAATCCAGTTCCTTATGTTGTGGTGACCCCAACCATGAAGTTATTCATTGCTATGTCATAGCTGTCATTTTGCTAATCATAATGCACTTATATGTGTTTTCTGATGGTCTTAGACAACCCCTGTGAAAGGATTATGTCTCCCCAAAGGGGTCTCCACCCACAGGTTGAGAAATGCTGTGCTGTACTATATGGTCTCATCTCCTTGGCTTTTCAGGAGGTTCTTACACATTCCAGTTGGCTGTTTGACACTTTTTGTTCTATTCTGCTTCATTTTGAGTCTGTTCTGTATTTGGAGGTACTTTTTCTATCATTTAAGAAACATGGGTGCAGGCTGGAGAGATGGTTCAGTTGTTAAGAGAACTGACTGCTCTTCCAGAAGTCCTGAGTTCAATTCCCAGCAACCATATGGTGGCTCACAACCATCTGTAATGGGATTCGATGCCCTCTTCTGGTGTTTCTGACATTACATAAAATAATTAAATTTTTTTTTTTAAAAAAAAGAAACAAACTATCAGGATAGAAAAAATTGTATTTTCCTCTGTTTGGAATCCCTCCTTCCCTTGTGCCCATTTCTTTTGCTCTGGTTCTCACACCCTGTCTCTGCCTGTTTTACTGATATTGTTGTGTAGAGGGTTATATCTAAATCCTCCTTCCACTTTATACTTTGTTTATTATTTGAAGTGTGTGTGTGTGTGTGTGTGTGTGTGTTGTCTGTGTTGTCTGTGTGTTGTTATGTAGACTACCTGGCCTGGAATCTTCTGTATAAACCAAGTTGCCCTTTGAACTCAAAGAGATCCACTTGCCTCTGCCTCTCAGGTATTGAGATTAAAGGCATGGGCCTCTACGTAATACCTAATGTAATTACATTGTAATCGATTGTGAAAACGTATTATTAAAAAAGTATAGAGGAAATGTGCATAGGTATAGAGGCAGCGGTTTGCAAATGTTTTCAGCATGTGGTTGTTTAAAATACGGATGCAGAATTCTAAGATGCAGAGGGCTGGCTCCAACTTTAGCCTTTCCCATTCTTCCTTCGGCATGATTCTACCACCATTTGACTATTCAACTTAGGAATTTGCATTCCTGTAATAATACCACTCCTTTTGATTCTGCTTCTGAATGTCTCTCCATTCTCATTGCTAATTCAAGGCACAATCATCTTTTGCCAGTTGTGGGCATGTACACACACCTACACCTTCTATACCTAAATTATCTGATATAATGTGCCTGACCATCTTAAAACCCTTAAGAAATGTCCAAGCAAATGTCCAATTTGGTTTATATTTCCTGTATTAGTCAGGTTCTTTAGATGAACAGAACTGATAGAATGATTCTGTGTTAAAATGGGATTTGTTAGAGTGGTTTGCCAGCTGTAATCCAGCTAGTCCATCAGTAGCTGTCTCTGACAGGAAGGCCAAGAATGTGGTATTTGTTCAGTCTTGGAGGCTGCGTGTCTCAGCTAGTCTTGGTCTGTGTTGGATCCTGAAGAAGTGTGTTCATCTGCCAGTGAAGGAAAGCAATACATGGACTTGCCATGGAGAGTGAGGCCAAACAGGCAAAAGGGAAGTTTTTTTCTACCGTATCAGTTTATATAGGCTGCCAGAAGGTGTGGCCTAGACTTAGGACAGGTCCTCTGACCTCAAATAATCCAGTCAGGAAAAGTCCCTCACAGGTATGCCCAGCCACCGAGGTTCCATGTGTGGTGAAGGACACAATATAGATTAATCACACACCTCTTCACTATTGGCCAGAATCTTACTTTCTTCCTTAACTCTGCTGCGCAATTTTCTTTATAGCTTGAAACATACCAGTTCTCGTCCGAGCCACATCCTTAGGGTTCTACATAAATGATATACCTCTCCATCAAGTCTGAGTTAGATGGCCATTCTGGATTGAAATGTTTTACCTATTACTCAGTTTTTTGTAAGGTCACAGGATAGAAATTGTGTAAACTCCCACAAAGGTGCATAGGAGATATGCCATCTGTCATGGCATGGATGGTGAATTGCCCCATGTGGTTTTTAGATTTAGAGCAATGCTTCAGTCAGTCTGTGAACATTAGACAGTAGCCACTGCCCTGAGGGGTGCATGTTGTTGAAGCTTCTGTCTGATTTGAATGAGACAACTTAGTGACTCCAGCAGAACTGGGACACCTCACGAGCAGGGCCAGCTAGGACTGTTCATGTCAGTGCCAGAGCATCTCCCTTAAAATGCTTAGACAAAAGTTTTGTGACCAGCCAAGATATCAGGTGTCCTCTAGTATGCTTAGAGACATTTCAGAAAGGAAGGGCTAGAAAAAAACCCTTCCTTGGTACAACTGAAGTGGTTGCAGGACTTTCCCTGGAGCTCAAATAGGTTAGTACAGTTTGCAAATGGAGGTCATTTGATGTCTGTCTATAGTTTAATAAATTGGCCTTGTTATTTCATGTATCACCTCTTCGCCTCCAGCATCGATCATGGGTTAGCTCCAGGATGATCTGCAGATACTAAAATCTTCTTGTTTAAGGATGATTAAAGAAAAAATAAGTATGCATGTGTTGAATAAAAAGACAATTTCTTCCTGGAAATGTTTTCAGTCCATGTTAGGTTGACTCCTCTAATATTGGAATCTGCAAATACAGAGAGAGAGCTACAGTGTGAGAATAAGTGATCTTAACTTGACATACGTTTGACAAGAACATAAACTATAAGACGCCAAGTGCAATCACTCACAACACAGTAATAGCAAATATGGATAGTGGTGTGTGTTCTAATTCTGTGTGCGGTACTTATTAGCAATGTCTGCCTTAGCTCACTATCTGTACAGCAGCCTATAATAGGATTCAACTTACATAAGATTTTGATAGTGATTCAGTTAAAATATGTAAAGTATTTAGATCTCTTCTTTGGTTCTTACCATAGAAGTTTTAGAACATCAAATGTAAGAATTTCTTTAAAATAAATGTTTTTAGAGACTGCCTTTCCAATTCTATTTTTGCGAGTTTGAATGTTTGTATGTGTGGTTTATGCATATATTTTCCTGGTATGTATGTATGTCTCTGTGTGTGTGTGTGTGTGTGTGTGTGTGTGTGTGTGTGTGTGTGTATGTACTTGTGTACAGGTGTGTTTGCTTATATGTTTTCTTGTGTGCAGATGAATATGGCTGTGTTCATGCAGAGATACCAGAAGAGAGTATCTGGTGTCCTCATTTGTGTACACCTTATTTCTTTAAAGCAAAGCCTCTTCCTAAATCTCTAGTTTGCATATTTCCGCTAGGCTGGTAGCCAATAAGTCCTGAAGATTCTCCTGTCTCCTCCCATGACAGCAGTGGGGTTGCAGGTGCAAACAAGACCTCAACTTATGTGAGTGCTGGAACTGGAACTCGGGTCCTCATAGTGAACCACTCTGATCCCTATGTTTTCATTTTTACTGCTGTGAATCCATTTTATGCCTCCTAACTCCCTAATATATGTGATACCATGTACATGTGGTTTCAGCATTTGACATTCATAAAGGAATTCTTTAGTTAAAAAAAAAAAAAGTACCACTCAGCTGCATGAACTGGCAACTATTTTTGAATTGGGCCTTTGAGCCTTGGATTGCTATAGAAACCACCCTGTTACTGCTGTACCCAGTGAGTGTTGGTAGGTCATCATCTGGTCTTCTGACAAGCATTGTAGCCAGATCAGGGAGCAAGCTGCTCAATAGTCTTCGAGCAGGAGATGGTAACACTCTTCCCCACGAAGGGTAAAGTGTGATGGGAATACTTGTTTTACTTGCATGCAGTACAAGACTTCACAGAAGTCATGCTACTTGGGAAGGTGCAGGGACAAGATACGAAGAGAGTTTTACATGGTTTGGAACCAAATGTTGACATTGTTGATAAGTGGAAATGAGGTTCTGTTAATCTTTTTTCTAAAAGTTGATCCACAAGGATAGTGCATTGTGCAACAAAAGGTATTTGTAATGGGTTGGGTGTGGTCGTCCAGGCTTTAACCCTGTTGGGTGTGGCCATCCAGGCTTTTAACCCTGTTGGGTGTGTAGTCCAGGCTTTTAACCCTGTTGGGTGTGGTCGTCCAGGCTTTTAACCCTGGCACCTCTGAGGCCGACCTCTGAGAGCTTAAGGACCACCTGGTCTACATGGTGAGTTCTAGGACAGCCAGGGCTACATAATGAGACTTTGTCAAACAATCAAGAAAGACTGGGGCAACAAAAAGGGAGGGGCCCTCCCCTGTTTTGAATTTCCCTGACAAGAAAATGAATGAAACATGCAGAGAAATCATGCCTTTGTCCTATGTTGTACATGTAACTCTTGTTTTAAAAACTATTTTGAGTTTTTTCAGAAAACTTGGAAAAACATTTGTTACTTTTATTTTCTTCAGTGTTTTTCTCTCCCATACAGGAACTTTGCATTGATGGCGACTAATTTGTGTGTTTTTCTTTTTTTTCTTTTTTCCTTTTTGCATGCTGTCCCCTGTGTTGGAACTCTCAATAGAGAGTAAGTTGGTTCAATATTTGTTGAAAAGCTAACTTTACTGCATGACTGTGGAATTAACCCATTTTCTCTGTTTTCTCTCCTGAAGAGTCCGTGCAGTGTTGGACCCTTTGCAATCCACGAAATGCTATTCGCAGTTCCGCAGGCTGCCGTTCTGTTTGGACATGTGCTTTTAATCTACTAATTGCTCTAATTTGATTATGTTCTTCTGTTTCACATTTGATGGCTGGCACACCTAAAATAAAGCAGGCTCCATAAAAAGACGCTGCCTCAATTGTAACAGTCCAGATTTGTGTTTCTTTCCTGAATAATTCCTCTCGTGAAATATCAAATTGATCCATTGGAGGCTTAAAGTAATTCCCAATTTTTGAGATTATTTAAAAACAAACAAAAAAACCAAAACAGCCCTACTACTCCAATGTGCTTTCTGATGTTCAATATTATTAATTATTAATATCATTCCATAAAAGTAAGCAGTGGTTATGGACCATTAATTCTAAGCTCAATCTTGTGAAATATAATTTTTATTCCTTCTGGTATATTAACATATACATTTCTCCTTTACTCATTGGTAAGGAAAGGAGAGAATATTGATTGACTTCTGAAATGAATTCTCTGTGGTAGTGGAAAGGTTTTGTATCATTTTCAATAAATTATGGCTGTGGTTATGCATATATATAGATATAGATATTTGCACGTACATATAGATAGACGCACACATACAGTTATAACTGTATATACATACGTGCGTGGATATATACACATATGGTCAGTAAGTGCCATTTTGGAGATTTCATACTTTTTTTCAAATAATAGTACAGTTTTATATGTAGTAGGCTATAAATCATATCTATGTATTTTAATTATACTACTTAATATTTTATCTGACCAAACGAAATTTCTATCTGGGACATTCAGATAAGTCTTCTGGAAGGAAAGAACAGTTACGATCTTGGGAGAAGTGTAAATGTAGATTGTGCAGTTATTTTGAGTCAGGAAGATTGCCATGAATTTGAGGCGGTCCTATACAACATTATAGAACCCTGTCTTGGAGGTAGAGGATTGGCTCAGTTGGTAAATGCTTGCTGTGCATGTATGAGGATCTGAGTTTAGTCACAGAACCCACATATTTACAAAGCTGAGTATGGAGATGCACAGTTGTGATCTTAAGTGCTAGAGAAGCAGAGGCAGGCTCCAGGCTCGAGACCCTGTGCAACAGTCAGTGAGCAGCGCATAAAAAATGACACCGAAGGTTGACCTCTGGCCTTTAAATACAGGTATATACATGTGTGTTCATGTGAACATTCATGTAAATGATAGAACCATGGGGTAGACCTAGCAATACCTGCCTGTGACCCCCAACACTAAATATGTTGAATCAAAATTATCATGCGTTCCAAGTAATCCTGGAACACATAATAAGACCCTATTTCAAAAATAAATGAAATGTACATAGTTATAAATTTCTGGGTGGAAAATAATTTAATTTAAGAAAAATATAATTTGCTGGGCAGTGGTGGCGCATGCCTTTATTCCCAGCACTTGGGAGGCAGAGGCAGGCGGATTTCTGAGTTCGAGGCCAGCCTGGTCTACAGAGTGAGTTCCAGGACAGCCAGGGCTACACAGAGAAACCCTGTCTCGAAAAAACTTGAAAGAAAGAAAGAAAGAAAAAAAGAAAGAAAGAAAGAAAGAAAGAAAGAAAGAAAGATATAATTTAAGAAAAGCTTAAGTAGTACGATTCACAGCTTGTCACATCACAATTCCAAAAAGGTGGTGGCACATGCCTTTAATTCCAACACTTGGGAGGCAGAGGCAGATGGATCTCTTTGAGTTCAAGGCCACTTTAGTCTACATAGTGAGTTTCAGGTCAGCCAAGGCTACATAGTAGAATCCTATCTCAAATAAACAAGAAAAACAGTTTCAAGTAGGAAAGATGAGTGGCTGTGACCTAAAATACCCAAACAGCTCTGGACAGACTTTGTAGGAAGACACATGCTGTACACGAGGGGCAGAAGGCAAGGGAATAGTAGAAAACTGAGTTTTATGGGACGTGCATGAAAGGGGAGCCACAGTACACATTGCCAGATGCTCCAAGGCCAGTTTGTAGATGTACAGAACTAACTGGGAATGTGTGATGATTCTATTTCTCTTAGAGAGGCACTCCAGTAATAGTAAGAAAGAAGCATGAATTGAAAAACATCCTAGAGGCTGAATCTTCCCATGGTCTGGTTTTGTAAGTACAGTTGTTTTGAAACACAGTTCTACTAATTTGGTCTCTGACCATGGTACAATGACAGGGTTGTACAGTTGCTCAACCCATGGCTTGTAAAGCTCCAGCCATTTATTATCTAGCCTGTTACAGAAATGATTTGGTGATTCTAGTATATAGGAAGTAGAATAGTCAGGTCTGGAGGCCAAAGGGCTTTGTACCTACAGCAGTGGTTCAGGAAGCAGACTTTGGCAAGCCCAACGAGAGCTGTTCTGGGAGTGGAGGAGACCACAGTGCTGTTGAAGAGACAGTCAGGGTGAAGGCATTTGGGATACTATAGAGAAATTCCTGCCAAGAACTTAGAGAAAGCCCAATCATACTGTATTTAAGAAAAAGCCCTCACAGCTCAAGATAAGCAGAGGATCAGATAGGAAGGCAGAGGCAGCAGAGACACCTCAAGAACAAGATACAGGGCTGGTAAGATAGCTCAGAAGTTAAGAAAATAGACTGCTCTTCCAGAGAGTTCCATTCCCAGCAACTACATGGTGACTCACAACCTTCTATAAAAGGATCTGATGCCCTCTTTTGGCCATTCTGTGCACATGGAGACAGCACTCATGTATTTAAATACATTCTTTTATTCTCAATTAATTTTATTATATAAATATTTTTCGTTACTTCAGGCTGGCTGTTTAAAATTACTTTTGGGGCAGTTTTAATAAATAATAAATCTCATACCAAAAATGAAGCAGTTTGTCATTTTGAGAAGCTTGAGGATTTCTAATCAGCATATTATTGTAAATACATTTTCTACTTTATGATGACTATAAGTACAATAATTTTCTAATTCGCTCAGTACCATTTTTAAAAAGCCGAATGTCCCCAAAAATATACATAGCAACACCTCCATTTCTTAGGAAATGAGTCTCAGTTTAACTAGCTTAAGCTGTGGCATTGTTGAGAGCATTAGGTGTGCCAGCCATTATGGGCAGTTTCCTTACCAAGTGGTGCTGCATGGACTAGCTAATTGTCAGACTTCTGCAGACGTTGGTAACCGCGCAGGTGTGCTCTTGTATCACAGAGTCCACTGAAAAGCAAGAGAGAGGGGTTTTTTCCGCTTGGCTGCCAATCGCTGTGCCTCAGATTCCTTTTTTCCCATCTATGTCTGCTTTGAATTGAGCACAGAGGTCAATACTTCCTCTTTCTTCTCCCCACTTCTTCCCGTTATCAACTCCAGGTGTTCAGCATGTTTCTGGAGACTCTAGTAGATTTCATACAAGTCCACAAAGACGATCTTCAAGATTGGTTGTTTGTACTGCTGACACAGCTGCTGAAAAAAATGGGTGCTGATTTGCTTGGTTCTGTTCAAGCAAAAGTTCAGAAAGCCCTTGATGTTACAAGGTAATGTTTTCTGTATGTATTTCAAGTTTAGCTGATGATAATCATGAATATTTAATCCCTGTGTTGAAATTTTATTAATACTGGTTTGAATACTTGAAGCTGTTAGCTTGTCTTAAGTAAAATATAAACTGACCGTTGTGATCCCAGCACTTGAGAGACAGAGGAGGATCAAGAGTTCAAAGTCATCCTCGACTATGGGGTGAGGGGAAGGCCAACCTTCAGGAGACTGTCTCAAAACAACAGCAATAAAGATAGAGCTGGAAATCTGAGCCTGCTGATGCAGGTCTTTAATCCCATCACTTAGGAGGCAAAGGGAAGCAGATCTCTGTGAGCTTGAGACTATCCTGGTCTGTATAGTGAGTTCCAGGACAGTCAGAGCTGCATAGCTATGTAGTATGACCCAGTCTCAAAAATAAAATTAAGGGACTAGTGTAATTGCTCAAGTGGTTAAGAACACTGGCTGGGCTTCCAGAAGTCCAGGGTTCAATTCCTGTCACCTACATGGCAGCTCACAACTGACTAGAACTGTATGGGACCCAATTCCCTCTTCTGGTATGCAACTATACATGTAAACAAAACAACCATATACATAAAATAAATAAATCTCTTTTAAAAATAAATTAAAATAAACATGTGAGCTTAAACATGTATATGGGGCAGGCATGGTGCCACTCGCCTACAATTCAGCATGTGGGAGTCAGGAGGATCAGGAGTTCAAGGGCAGCTTGAGTTACAAAGAGAGATCCTCTTTCAAAAAGGAAACAGTCAAAGAAAAAAAGATGTAGAGCCAGGGACATGGGCAAGCTCCTATAGTCCCTTTTGCTGGGACACTGAGGCAGGATGATTGTTTGAGGTCATGACATTGAGGCAAGCTTGGGAAATATAATAAAAGCTTATCTCAAAAGACAGTAATGCCAGTGGTGCATCTGATAAAAGGCATTGGCCTTCAAGCCCTGTAACCTGAGTTTGAGTCTTCACCACCTAAAGGCAGAGAACCAGCTCCCACAAGTACACCGTAGCACATACATGTCCAGACACACACAGGTAAATAAATACCAAAGAAAAGGGGTGTTTATTATGAGACAGGGTTTCTCTTTGTAATCTTGCCTGTGAACTCTGTAGACCAGGGTGGCCACAAACTCACAGAGGTCCACCTGCCTGTCTTATCTCTCAAGTGCTGGGACTAAAGGTGTGTGTCACCATCACCAGCTGAAGAAAATTTAATTACAATCATGTCTCTCCTGAGCCTCCTTTCAGAAGACTTTACATCAGTGTTTGGGTTTCTACCTCCATGAGCTCGTTGTGAAGGGACTCATTTCGCACAGCCAAATCGAAGTTGAAATGAGCCTGCAATTCAGAATTTTTTTGGTGGTGTTTGTTTTGAACAGAGTCTCACTAGGATGTAGTTCTGGCTCTCCTGGAACTCACTATGTAGACCAGTCTGGCCTCAAATTCAGACATATGCCTGCCTCTGCCTCCTGACTGTTGAGCTTAAACGTCTATACCACCACACTCAGCAGAAATCCAGATCTGAAGGAGAAGAAACATGTCTGAAAATACTGAACTTTTACTTTTTTAAGGTTTTTTTTTTTTTAATTTTCTATTTTACGTATCTATGTGTGAGCTGTCCCTGAGGAAGTCAGAGGGGACACTGGATCCTGTGGAGCTGGAGTTAGAGGTGCTTGTGGGCTGCCCATGTGGGTGCCAGGAGCCAGGCTCAGTTCAGGAACTGTAAGGAGCCGTCTGTGTGCTTTTAACCACTGAGCCCCTCTTTAGCTCCAGAAGTGTGAACTGTTATTGAGTACGTTTTTCTGATTAAATACATATTGGAGACAAGCAAGACACACTTACCTAGCGTTGTTTCTTCTTTACTGACTGTAAATTCAACTGCCTTTTATTCTCGAGTGGTGTGTGCTTCATACTGCCGCCTCAGCTCCCAGTTCTTATGTGCTCTGTGGCGCCATGATACGTGATGTGAAGTATAGTCCTTGCTGTGGAGTTTGTTAAAATGCAGACTTGTCAACTTAATTTGGTGTGGGGTTTGTTGTTTACTAACTTTTTTTTTTTTTTTTTGCTGTTGTCTTTTCTCAGAGAATCTTTTCCAAATGATCTTCAGTTTAATATCCTAATGAGATTTACAGTTGACCAGACCCAAACGCCAAGCTTGAAGGTAAAACTTCGTTTTCTTCTAAAAATAGTACAGTGAATTCAAGTATTTTATTAATAAAGTTAGGCTAATATCTGTATTTTTATCACAAAAGAAACTGCTCAATCAGTGGGCTTTGTTTTTATAAACTTTCAGATAGTCCTGCCAGCACTGCGGGACCAGCTTCACTCTTTCTGGAGCTCAAAGGTTTTTCTTTGGTTTTTATTTTAGCCTGCATCATTTCTTTTCCTAACTCTCTGCAGTGTTTCCAATAATGTTCTATGCACTGATGCCAGTACTAACCTTCCTAAGTCGTTTATACACGCACATACTTGATTTCAAATGTTCTCCAGAGGCTTGACCCATCCTTGGGAAAAGCTTTCTGGGTAAACACATTTTAAAAGCATCAAAAAAATATGGCCATCTAACCCTATGCTGGTAAAACAGTTACTTTAATCTTATGTTTGTGATTTCCCAAGTCGTCTTCTCTTAATTGTAGTTTTTAGAGTCTGATAATTATTTGGCCAAAACATAGCATTGCATAGGTGCTTATTTTAGTGAATGTGTGTGTGCATGTGTACATATACATACTTACATACATACATAAAGTATAGTCTCAGTTTGTTCTCCCTATCTGAAATAATAACATTTTCTGTAATATAACGTTGCTGAAACAAGAATAAAATTTGTATCAGGACTATATTTCTCAATTCTATTTGGACACATTTCTAGTTGTGTGAAATGTAGATAGAGTCTGTTTTATGACTTAAAATGATTAGCATTAGGCAAGAAGTAGTTTCTGTCTGGGATGTGCCTTAATGGATGGGATGCTTACCCAGCCTGCACAGAACCTACAGAAATGTTTTTCATGAGCTGATCCAGTGAGATTAAAGTCAGGAAATAAGAAGCACATTCCTTGTATAGGCCTTGTAGTTTCTTCTGTGTTCTGCACAAATATGTTCTAGAAGCCTTACACCCAAGACCCACTTTCCCTTCACATCTTGGGATGCATTTATGTCTCAGAATCACAGTTGTTTCTCACAGGGCTGACGTGTACCCAGTGCAGTGTCATTTTCTCAGAGCCACTAAATAAAAGGGACTCTTTGGGGTTTTTGTTTTTTGGGTTGTTTTTTTTTTAAGTGACATACAGAATAAGGCTTTATTTAGTATTAATACATATTGTAGCTCATACTATATCCAAGACATTTCTGGGAATAGAAGACGTAGACTTTTTTATCATAATTACCTATAATACTTGATAAACTAAATGGTAATAAAGGATTTGATGTAGCTAGGTGGTAGATATTCAGTAGCTGCTGAAAATATAAGTGAAGGTGTTTTATGTGCCTGTGCAAATGAAGCCTGAAGCAGTCCTTAGAAACAGAGTCACGTGGAGTGGGGTAGGCCTGTGATGCCACCACACGAGGCACTGAGACAGGTAGAGTATCAGTTATTTGTCAGTGTGAGCTACACCAAGAGTTCCAGCTTACCTGAGCTGTGAAGCTGACTCAAGAGACAGGCAATAGGAGGGGCAGAGTGAACTTGAAGACCTAAAGAGAAAGACACATAAAGAGAAATAGGGATGTGGGAAACAGGCGAAGGAAAGCGAGCTTCCTGTGGGCCTGTGATCAGACACTGGTTTTGTAATGTGCTGTAATGTGTGTGGAAGTCCAGTCAGGAGCAGAGCTATGGTGCCATCTTTGTTACACTTTTAGACAACAGGAATAATACTGCTGACATACTTGATGCCCAGGTGAGAACAGCTGAAGGTAGACGACAGGATGAACTATAAAGTGCTCGGTCACAGTGGGAGTGCTGAAAAGATGGCTGGAGTCTGTCTCCCAGCAACCAAGTCAGGCAGTTCCCAAATCCCTGAACCCCAGCTTAGGGGATCCATTGGCCTCTTCTGCACCTGCATATACATGGCATACGTTCACACAGACCCACACATACATGTAGATAAAAACGTTTTTAAACCGTAAGAAGTTAAAGAGATGAGAAGACGGCTCAGTGGTTCAGAGTAATCGTCTCACAGACATAGCGACCAGAGCTTGGATCTGAGCAGCCAGCAACAAGCTGAGCATCCTGAAAACACCTGTTAAGCTTAGCTCCAAGGGATCCTGTGCCCTCCTCTTTTGGCCTACACACACACACACACACACACACAGGCACACACGAGCACATATATTCACATAGAAGCACATACACAAAATGCCGTAAAAGTTTTGAATTGAATTCCAGCACTCAGGAGGCAGAGGCCAGGGACCAGCTTGCTTTTATGTAGCAAGTTCCAAAAGAGCTAAGACTACACACAGAGACCTTGTCTTCAACTAATAATAATAATAGTGGTAAATGTAAAATTAAAAATAAGTTAAAGAAGTAAATCTTTTTTTAAAGAAAGAAGATAGCAGTAAACTAAATAACAATACAGAGTGATTTTAATTTTAGTTAAATTAACAGGTATTTGTTAAATGCATGAGATTTTTTTCTGAATATTTCTTCCAGCTCAACAAATATGCTAAAGGATTACATAAGCCTTTGCAACTACATTGTTTTGTTCTTTGAAATGGAATTTAGTTATAGATTGCATGACTTGGTGAGATGTCCTACTAACATGGGAATATTTCAATGGTTATATGTTTCTGTGGTTGCTTGCTCATTATAGTTAACGCCACTATTTTGTGGAAATCTTTTAAAACTGCAGTACTTGCATTGCATGATTGTAAATGCCCTTAATTCCAGCACATCAGAAGCAGAGGTAGATGGATCTCTGTGAGTTCAATGCCAGCCTGGCCTACACGGAGTTCCAAGCACCAAGGCTACATACTGAGACTCTGACTTCCATAATCTTACACACAAACCTGCCCACACATGTAAGCACACATACACACATAGCATACAGAGAGCAAAAGAAAACATTTTAAAAGTCATTTGAAGTCCTGTGGATGTAACTACGCCAGAGTGCTTGCCTGACATTAGCAAGGCCATAGTAGATTGAATCTGCAGCAAGGCAAATAATGATAGCAATAACAACTTTTAAAAATCAAGGAGCTAAGATGCAGAAGAGGGCCTCAGCTCAGTTCCCAGCACATACATGGCAGCACACAGCCTCTACAATACAGTTCCAAGGGATCTGACTGTCTTCTGGTCTCCATGGGCGCCAGATATTCACATGGTACACAGACATGGAGGCAAATGCCCATACACATAAGAGTAATCCATAAAGACAGTCACAGCATTTGGGAGGCAGAGGCAGACATGTGTCTGAATTCTAGGCCAGCCTAGTCTGCAAAGTAAATTCCAGGACAGCTGGGACTACACAAAGAAACCCTGTCTCGGAAAAACAAAAACAAAAACAAAACAAAAGTTAAATAAACAGCCTCGGCCTTGAAAGAACCATCATTTAGAAACTGTAGAGTGTTGGAATATGTGACCAGAAACAATGATTCTCAGCCTATTTATTTCCACTAGCATACTGGAGAGAGGAGATATAATTTAATAATTGCGTACTAGAAGAATTTAAAATGGCTGAGCCTAGAAAGAAGCATGCATGCCTCAGAAACAGGTCCGTTTCCAGCCCTTCAGCTGCCTTTCATGCACTTTATTTACAAAAGAGAGTGAATTGGGAGAGTTGGGGATGTCGCTCAAGTGGTAGAGTACTTGGCTAGACTGCACCAGGTCCTGGGTTCTATACCCAACACCTCATAAGCTGAGCTCAGGAGATACAGTCAGAAGAATTAGAAACCTTCAAGGCCTTTCTCAGCTACACAGTGCATTTGAGGTCAACCTGGACTAGAGGCCTTGCCTTAAATCTAAAGAACAGTTACGTTATCCACTGCAATTACGGCTTATCTTTCCATACCTTATCATCTAACACACTGGCTATTTCCCCAAAAAGAAATGACCGTGCACACACTCTGAAATCATGCTCAAAGAAATGCTCTCTAGTGTGTTGAGGAAATCTTTAGCATTTGTTCATACTCTGAAAATGGAGTGCTAAAAGTTCTAATACTCACGAAAACAGAAGTCCTCATTTCATTTCAGGAGGGTAGGCAGCTGCATCATTCCTCGGAGGTTTTTTGTTAACTGCTGCTGCTGCACTTGTCAAAAGCTAATGGTAGTTATTTCTGATACATCACCTAGTGTCTCGAGTGTCCATCTCACTCTCCTCTTTCATTGCGCTTTCCTCAACAGGTGAAGGTGGCTATCCTTAAGTACATAGAAACTCTGGCAAAGCAGATGGACCCAGGAGATTTTATAAATTCCAGTGAGACTCGCCTGGCAGTATCTCGGGTCATCACTTGGACGACAGAGCCCAAAAGCTCTGATGTCCGAAAGGTTTGTCTGAGTGGGATGGAGAGATAATTTTAGGGTTTTTTTAACTGATCTCTTGTTAGATACTTTTTTTGTGTCTATCCTTCTCCATCAGTGAGGATTTGGCTTTCCCTGTGCCTTGTTCACATCCTTTCCAGCTGTCCCTACAATACTTAACAACCAACCCTTGCCTGTGTGGAGGTTCACCTTTTGTTTTGTTTTGCTTTCCAAGTTCTCACTCCTGTACCAAGAGATTTGCTGCTGCCTCCTTTCTTAAAGAAGTTCTTAGAGTTAGTGTCTGTATTGCTTTTCATGTTCTTGAGTTTCATCTTAGAGTTAATTGTCTGTCTTGATTTTCATCTCCTTGTGTTATGGTGCTTTGAGACAGTCTTACATATCCTGGGCTAGCCTGGAACTCACTCTAGCAGATGACCTTGACATCCTGGTCTTCCTGCCTCAACCTCCCAGGTACTAAGAATTCTGCCACATACCATCATGCCTAGCTTGACTGAGCTTTTAAACATGTCTTCTTTAGTATATGTTAATATTATTAGTACATGTTAGTATGTTTAACCTTTCTGCCAAGGGCTTATGGCTAGTATTTTCTATTGACTCAAAAATATATAACTTGTTTGTGCTAGGGAAATGGCTCCATTGATAAAGTCCATAAGAGTTTATATTCCTAACACCTACATTATAAAAAAGAAAAAGAAAAAAATCAGGCATGATAGCACATGCCTGTAATCTGGGTGCTGGAAAGATGGCAGATACAAGAAAATTTCTAGGGTTCACTGGCCAGCTAATTTTTCCTAGTCATTGAGCTCCTAGTTCAGTGACTGATGATCTAAAAACAAAAGGGGAGTTGGGGACGGTGGTGCACATCTTTAATGCCAGCACTCGAGAGGCTAAGGCAGGTAGATCTCTGAGTTGGGGGCTAGCTTGACCTTTGACTTCACATGTGAACACACTTTAGCACATGGACACAAGCACATGTGTGTACCCCAAAACAAAAAAGAAAATACACTAAAGTGAATAAAAGTGAAGACATGGCAGAATAAAACTTAGAGATACAGCAGAAGCTGTGTCTTGAACAGAACTCAGGGTACATAGACATGTGCAGACAAAACACTCATACGTGTGATGGTCATGGTTAGTAAGATAAGCTAGGCTGGCACACACCTTTAATGCCAACAACTCGGAACATAGAGGTGGGTCTATCTTCTATGTTTCAGACTGGCCAGTACTACAGAGTAGTACTTTTCCCCTTTTCAAAGGGAGAAAAAAAAAACACAAAGAAAACTGCACCCTGACTATGCTGTGTGACCAGCTGCGTGGTGCTCCCAGTTAACGGAGAATGAACTCTACCCTCTAGTTGTGAGCCAAAATAAGCCCTTCTGTCCTTAAGTTGCTTTTGTCAGATACTTTGTGAAAGCAACTAATTCAGAGCTTGTAATAAAAGGAAACATTTTAAATCAGTTATCTAATCAACCATCCAAAGACAGTGAGTCAAAAAGAGCAAAGCAAACCTTGAGCAAACAGACATTTATAGTTCAGAATATCAGAGAAAGCAAAGACCTTAAATGTTGGCACATACCTTTAATCCAGCTCTCAGGAGGCAGAGGTGGGCAGATTTCTATGGATTCAAGGCCAGCCTGGTCTACATAGTGAATTCCAGGACAGCCAGGGCTATGTACAAAGACCCTGTCTCCAACAATAAGAATGGAGCAGCAGGGATGGTGAGGTGTTCCAGCACTCAAGAGTACTTGGCTGCTCTCGTTGAAGACCCACATGGCAGCTCACAAATGACGGTCATCCTAGTTCCAGGGGATCAGATAGTGTCTGGCATCTGCAGGCTCTGCCTGCTCTTGGTACCCAGACATACCTACCAGGAGACTGTTGAGTAGCGTTGTGTTGTCTGAATGCAGCATGCTTTAGCTACTCTGCTGTTGTATAGTCAGATGCTAAACGTAGAACACAGAGGTTTTCATAGATGAGATGAGAAAAGATCCAGAACGAGGTGTGTGCGTTGGACATGGTCCTATGGCTGTGCATCATTTCATGCTAGCCTCTAAATGATTTGATTTTACTTTTGATTCTAAAAAACACCTGACTAACCTTATCTTGAGATTAACTGTAGACTTTTTAGATTAGCTACTTAAGAAAAGACTAGATCTTGCTAGTTAAAAAATCCTAAGAGCCAGGCCTGGTGGTGTGCACCTGTAATTCTAACACTTAGGGAGCAGAGGCGGGAGGGTCACAGACTCAAAGCCCTTCAGGACTACAGTAAATCATACTCTGTTTTGTTTCTTTGGTTGGTTGGTTGGCTTTTTTGTCTGTTGTTGTTTTTCTCTTATTCTGCTGGCTTTATTTTTTAATTATCATACAAAGTAACATGTTTCAATATGGCATCATCACAGTGTACTTGGGTTTTATTAATTCCCCCTTCCTCCCATTCCTACTCTTACCCCTGTGTTGTCTGCTGCCTGTGTATTTTTCACATATTGAGAAAGTTTAATTTTAGCATTGTTACTGTCCTTTATGATCATTTACAAGGAAACCTAAAACAGTAGTATATATAGAGTAACCCTACAATGTTTGTCAAGTTACACGTTCATAGTCCCTTCTTTTTTTTTTTTTTAAGATTTATCCTTTTTATTTTATATATGTGGGCACAATATAGCTGTCTTCAGACATACCAGAGAAGGGCATCAGATCCCATTACAGATGGTTGTAAGCCACCATGTGGTTGCTGGGAATTAAACTCAGGACCTCTGGAAGATCATCAGTCAGTGCTCCTAACTGCTAAGCCATCTCTCCAGCCCTCATAATCCCTTCTTAACTTTAGAAAATAAATGGTAGTTGAGAGAGTTTTTATCCTCCCCAAAAGAAAGAAGTTATGAAAGTTAAGGCTCGACCATCACAATTCCTTCTCCATGGGAGAGATAGTCAAACCTTGTGCCTTTGAGCAGAAACAGAAGAAGAAAATGGACACCCTTGAGCAGCCAGGATGCATCTCACCTACTTTTTGTATGCTTTTGTTCCTTTTAGGCAGCACAGTCAGTGCTGATTTCTTTATTTGAACTCAATACCCCAGAGTTTACAATGTTATTAGGAGCTTTACCAAAAACTTTCCAGGATGGTGCTACTAAACTTCTTCACAATCACCTTCGAAACACTGGCAATGGCACCCAGGTATTTCTTACTTGTTTTGTTGGCTTTGTCTGCTGTTACATTTGGTTTAACAGTAAAGTTAACTTGATTTTACTATGTAATTTTTACGTCTGCATTTGGAAACAGTTTCTGAGCAGGATTAAATATTGTCTTGGGGAAAATAGAGTCCCTGGAACCTATGGTACTTGTATTATAATTTGTGTACGTTAGGATAGATGTTAGCCTTAGATAGTTGAAAGGAGACACACATGTGAGCTGTGTGTGTCTGAGGGCACCAGCAGCCTTGGAGTGTGTTAGAACTTTAGGACATGCTGCCCCTTGTCCTTCAGATGAACCAGTTCTGGTTTGAACACCAGCAATGGTAATTCATCTCAAGCCAACAAGTAAAGTTGAAGAGAATCATACTAAAAGATTACAGGCTTGTTGGTCTTTGGGTGTCGATATGCAGGACTTGGTTCTGAGAAAGTAAAGTATGACTAAATGTGCATCCCAGTGAACTATATAGATGAATGTGTGACTTACATAAAATGTCTAACAGATTGAATGAGAGTTGTAATGGAGGGGCCTTTGATTAACAAGAAGAATGCAGGTGTACTTGATGGCGAGCTTAAAGTGACGGGTTCAGGGTTGAAAGTGATGCAGGATTCTTGAGCGAGACAAGACATTTAACAGCCCAGTTGTACATGACTCAAAGATATAGGATGCTGGACTCTGATGGTTACTGAAGACTGACTCAAGACAGTGACTCCAGGTTGGTTGTCTCCTACTGATGGAGGTTCCTGATGCATGTTCTGGAGGGAGCATGCAAAGCAAAAGCAAGCTTAAGTAAAGAGAATTCCAGAGAAGGTTGAGAAGCTCCTCAGAGATAGAAAGGTTTCCAAGAGAGAAAAAGAGGCATCAAACTTCCTTGTCTAGACTTTTTATAGAGCTTTGGCAGAGAATGAACAAGTCTGGAGTACTTGCTTTGAGATTGGTTAATTCTCTGAAATATTGTAGACCAAGATAAGGAATCACCCACATAGTATTTTCATGGCCTCCCAGCCGAACCAGAAAGATGCTCATGCACTGTACGGCCCACCCAGTGAAACATGGTTGAAGCCCCTTTGTCCATTTCTGACCTCAGGTTTGTTAATGACCTTGGTTGTCTTCCAGCTGTTACTCACTTCTCAGATGTTGCCTGACCTTGTAGGGGTCTCAGTTGCTAATTCTGTTGACCTCTGTCCCTCCTGGCTCCAAATGCAGTTAACTCTTTATCTTCCAAATAGCCTGGGTTCCCCTTCCTGAAAGAGGTGGAGACTTCCTCAGAAGCTCTCTTTACTTAGTCTGTTACAATTAGCTGCATTAGAAGCGTGGATATATGCAAGTATAGTAGTGCCTTACAGGTGTCCCTCAAGGGCTGCCATCACTGTCCCAGAGCCCTGGACCAACTCTGAGCTGTTTACTTAGTTTCCTTTAGCAGTTACCCAGCTGCAAACCCTCTACTCCTGCCTCACTGCTGCAGGCTTGCCTCCTTCCTATTAGTCTCACATCTGTCCTCAGTGCAGCAGCTCTGAGCAGTTTCCAGTGTGCGCTCCTTTCCTTTGCTACCAACAGAGCACTAGCCCCTGCCTCAGAATGTCTCTGAGTGTAATGTCTTGTGAGTCAGAGGCACTTCCTAAGTAGAGAGGCAGTTAATTGAAGGAAAAAGACATATTAATAACATCAACAGATTTTACTTCCTCAATGTTTTTGGGGAAATAATTTCTTAAAGATACTCAAAAGGAATTATTAGTCTTTTTTTTTTTAATTTATTTATGGTGGTAGAGGCAGACAAGTCTTTGTGAGTTTGAGGCCAATCTGATCTATATATTGAGTTCCAGGCCAGCTAGGGCTACATGATGAGCTCCTGTCTAAAAAAGAAAAGAAAAGAAAAGAAAAAAGAAAAGGCTAGTTTAAATCCTTGAGAGAAAAGACGTTGATAATATTTAAGAGACAAAATTGGGTTAAAAACCTGTGGGCATGGTGATGCCCATCTGTAACCTCACACTACAGCGTGAAGACAAGAGGATCAGACGTTCAAGATCTGTCAGGAGTACATGAGGCTGGGGGACAGAAATAATAGAGAGGAGAGTGGGTAAGGAGAAAAGGGAGAAGACTGAAGAGGTAGGTTTCTGAATGGAGACACATCTTCTCAGAAACGTAAGTGCACGGATGTTTCGAATGCTGACGTACAAGGATGTTGCTTTCATAGTGTTCTCTCATGACTGTGCCTCTTCTCTACGGACCTTGTTGTAGCATTCCCTTGTGCTGATGCGCTTCTCACTTCCACCCCCAGAGTTCCATGGGGAGTCCTTTGACGAGACCAACACCTCGGTCACCAGCCAACTGGTCCAGTCCTCTTACTTCTCCTACCAACACGTCACAGAATACGTTATCTCCAAGGTGAGAGGATTGTCCAATCTCCATTCTTAGAAAGGCAGAGAGTTAACTATAATCTCAGACTTTTATTTGACTTGAAATGATCTGATTCAAACAACTCCTAAGTGTATGTAAAATCTAACGCTTTAAATGGTGGTAGATAGGCCGAAAGGTACTGTTTTCTTAAAGAGTATAGTTATATTTCTCAGACTGCAATTGTGCCTATCTTTTTGATTACCCCACTTACTATAAATGGCAAGTATCAGTTATGGTATTAGCATACTGATGACCTGAAAGGTCAGAAGGGACTCGATCTTATAGTTAGACAAAACATGAAGAGAAGAATGGGGAAGAGTTAAATTATCATGAATACATTGTGGCCTTACGTATGCTTCTAGATAAAAATGTGACTTAGATACTGCTGCGTCATACAAAATACACAATGTAACGGGATCTGATGCCCTCTTCTGGTGTGTCTGAAGACAGCGTCAGTGGACTCATAAATATAATAAATAACATCTTTTTTTTTTTTTTTTAAAGGAAAAATTACAGGGTGTTAAGTCAGAGTTTAAGAAGGAAAAATGTGCCGGGCAGTGGTGGCGCACACTTTTAATCCCAGCACTTGGGAGGCAGAGGCAGGCAGATTTCTGAGTTCGAGGCCAGCCTGGTCTACAGAGTGAGTTCCAGGACAGCCAGGGCTATACAGAGAAATCCTGTCTCAAAAAAACAAAACAAACAAAAAAGAAAAGAAAGAAAAATGTATCAGATCTCATCTTCTAACCTATGGGTTAATACATTTGTAACACTTTTGCTGGGTAAATTCTAGCCTTAGTTGAATTTAGAGTTTGATTATAGAATTTATCACATTAGCATTCTGTTCAGTGTTCATTTATGTTGTCTGCCTCGTCCATTGAGATGACTTAGGAGGTGAATGCTCTTGTTGGAAAAGCACAACTACCTGAGTTCAACCCCTAGGTCACCATGTAACAGGAAGGGAGAGAACTAGTCCCCAGAGCTTCCTCTTACCTCACAGGCACAATGTGGTACCCCACCCCTGCCACAAGCATGTACTAGAATACTTTCCTTTTATGTCAAAATCTTCCCTGCCTTTTTCATTTTACCTTTATCTTTTGTTTTCAAGAATAATAGGCAGCAACTGTAAGTAGGTGAAGTACAGTTAGTTCCCTTTTTTCTAGTGAGGACTGCTCCCAATGCCACTAGAATGTGTAGCTCCTCCTGCTGGCCTTGTGCTGGCCTCCTGCTAGCAGAGAGGGCAGAGAGGGGTAGATCTCCTGACCCTGACCCCTGAGTGCTAAGAATACTGGCACTCAGCAGCAGCTACATCTGCTGCTTCCTCAGCTAGTGCTGTTACTACTTGTTAACTACGAGGACTGGAAAGCTTCCTATAAAGGGCCAAAGGGCAAATATTCTAGGCTTTTAATCCAAGTGATCTGTGACCTTTATTCAGTTCTGCTCTTGTACTACCAAAACAGCCACAGATAGTCCCAGCATACAGAACGATGTCTGTGCTCCAGTAAGACAGCATTTATGCATACTGAAACTTGAATTTTGTATAATGTCCATGTTATAAAAATATTTATTTAAAAGTGTAAGTAAGCTGTGTTGGCAAGATGGCGGAGGTAAACGTTCATGATGCAAAGTGTCTGATGGCCTGAGTCATTGTAATCCACATGGTGGAAGGAAAGAATCAATTTCCAAAAGTTGTGGTTTTTTTTTTTTTTTGGTTTTTTTTTTTTTTTTTTTTTTTTTTGGTTTTTTCGAGACAGGGTTTCTCTGTGTAGCCCTGGCTGTCCTGGAACTCACTCTGTAGACCAGGCTGGCCTCGAACTCAGAAATCCGCCTGCCTCTGCCTCCCAAGTGCTGGGATTAAAGGCGTGCGCCACCACCACCCGGCTTTTTTATTTTTATTTTTTTTTTTATTTTTTTTTTTTGGTTCCAAAAGTTGTGTTTTAACACACACATACAATGTAATTTTAAGACCAGACATGGTGCTCCATGCTTTTAAGCCCAGCAATCAGGAGACAGAAGTAGGAGAATCTCTGGGAGTTCAAGGCTAGCATGGTATACATAGTTCCAGAACAGCCAGGGCTACACAGAGAAACCCTGTGTATCTGCTTCTCAAAAAGATTTTAAGAATAAATAAATACAGTGTTAGCTGGCTATAGTGATATTTGCCTATAACTTCAGAACTCTGGAGGCAAGACAAGAGACTCTTGAGTTTGAAGCCTGACTTGTGGTAACAGAGTGAATTCTTATGTCAAAAATAAATAATTCTTATCTTTATAAATATTCTATAAAATATCCTCAGATGTGGTTATTTCACCAGGGTCAGGTTTAGCCAGGCTGGCCTGCAACCTGCTGTGTAGTAGAGGATTCCTGAGCCCCTAGTCCTCCTCCTTCTACTTGCCCAGAGCTGGCATTATAGGTGTGGACCACCACATCCAGCCTGTTTGTATTATAAGAGTAACTGAACATTAGTAGCCAACTGTGGTAGCTTACATCTCTAATTCCAGCACTTTGGAGGAGGATTGCAGTGTGTTCAAGACTAGCCTGGGCTACAGAGTAAGACTCTTTAAAAAAAAAAAAAAATCAAACAACTAGGAGCTGGAGAGGTGCTCTGTGGTAGAGAGCACTTGCTGACAGAGGACCTGGGGTTGGGTCCCAGCACCCACATGACACCTCACAGCAATCTCTTAATTCTAGTTCCAGGGGATCTGATGCCATCTTCTGACCTCCAAGGGTTCTACACACATGTGGTACATATACATACATGCTGGCAGTACACTCATACACATAGATAAGTAAAAATTAATGCTATCTTTTTCACAGTGCATTTGATTATGACACAGAGAACATGAATTCTGAAGACATTTACAGCTCCCTTAGAGGTGTCACTGAGGCAATCCAGAATTTCAGCTTCAGAAGCCAAGAAGATATGAGCGAGCCACTGAAGAGGGACCCTAAAAAAGAGGATGGTGACGCAGTAAGTGTTTGCATGTTCTTACCATCATGCCTAAGGTGCCAAATCAAGTATGTGTTTTTGTGCACTCGTGTGTTCACGTAGTTGTTGGTTTATTTTAAACTTTGCTTTCTTGCGTGTTCACATATAATTTTTTAGAAACTAGTCACTCTCCAAGTATTTACTGAGTGTCAGCCACCCACATACTAGTGAGTTTTAAGTGTTAGATCTGGAAGAGAGAGCTGTGCCCTAGAGTTCTTTTTAGATTCCTAACTAAAAATGTTTACTGTGGAGTTTTTGGTTCAGAATGTGCCAGAGAGGATGATCGATGTCACTCTGGAGCCAGGGAATGGAGGCCTTTGTCAAATGACATTTGGATTGAGCTGGAAAACCTAAGAGAAGAATTCTGTGAACTGATTAGGCAGTACAGAGGTGGCTAGGAACCAGCTTATGTAGTTGAGGATTTGGAAGAAAGCTACTGTAATTGTGGAGCATTAAGAAATGAAGGAGTGCAGACCACAGATATCAGTATGGCCCGTGGCTGCAGGGCAGACAGACACAGGACTCAGTTCTCTTTAAGGGGCTGGCTGCCAGGAGTTTGACTCTGATCCAGTGAGTATCTGGGCAATACAAAATGGACATTTTTTTTTCATTCTTCTTTTTTTCTAGAAAGAGATGACAGGGTAGGAAGTAGACCTGGGAGAACTGGGAAGTGAGTGTAATGGGGTGCCTGATGTGAAGTTTCCAAATAATCAATAAAAATATTATGATAGAAAAAAATATATAGGGAAAGAAAAGAAAGACAGGAGTCGAATGTGGTCAAAGCATATGAGTTAATCATTGGCCTGGACCTTGAGCATCCTAGATTGTGCTTCTTAACCACGTGAGCCTCACAATGGAAGTTTATATTTTCCCCATATTAATTGTAGTAATAGCAGTCTGCATCATCAGTTTATGTGGTCCAAACAGAATGTTATGACTTACTTGTCTGACATGTGATACTGTTTATTATTTACCTGGTTTCCTCTGCTGTGGTACATCAGTAGTTACGTTTTCCTTCTGCATCTCTTTAGACATGCCTCTGGCAGCTTAGACAGCTTTTAAAATAAGCCATCCCTTCATCCTGCTGAGCACATTGTTGCTCAGTACCCACAGAGCTGCAGCGCTTAGGCACATGAATGGCTGTGCTGCTCTGAAGGACTCCACACCTGCCTTTGCTTTCACTCAGTTTTCCCTGGACCATAAAAACGGTTGTCAGAAAGCGTTACCACCCAGGACTGAGGTTCCCTATCCTAGACCTGCATGTAGTCGCTACAGCGGTAGTACATGATATCTCAGTGCATTTGCCTTTAAACGTTGTCCTTTCTGAAGAAAAGGGCATAGAAATAGTAAAACCTGAAAGATGCTACTAAAATAGTTCATTATTCAAAGGCAGTATAGTGTGACAATTTTGAAAAAACTTTTTATTGATTCTTTGTTAGTTTCACATCATGCACTCGAGTCCTGCTCATCTCACCATTCCCTCATACCTGCCCTTTGCCCTTGCAGCCTCCCCTCCAAAATGAAACATACGCACACACACATTCACACACACACACACACACACAAGCATAGAAGACATCTTATAGAGGAAGCTGTAGTGTGTCACAGTGTGTCCCACAGTGTATCTTTCCTCTGCCTTTACATCTTCACTTGTAAATGTTCATTGCAATGAGTCATTGGTCTGGTTTGAGATCTCTGGCTTCTATGACACCATCAATATTGGATCCTCACTGAAACTCCTCCTGCCCTCATATATCCTCAGATATGTTTCCATAATGAGGGTCTTTGTATCTTTAGCTGGCATGGAGAGGCTGTTGCTAATATCAGTGTATATGTTACTTGGTTGAACCATGTACAAGGATAACATCATTGCAAGCAGCACTCATGATGGTTTATTTGCCCCTCAGCTGAGATTTCTTTAAACTCATTTTGAATATACATTGTATTATATATTTTTACAATATATTTGAATATACATATTGTAACCTATGCTGGTTGTCATTAATTTCTTTTTAAATTATTGTTACCTTTGCTTGTATTTTTAACTTTTTATTTTATTTTGTAAGCATGGGTGTTCTGTTTACGTAGAAGCCTGTATACTTGCAGATGTCAGAAGTGGGTATCTGATCTCTCTGGATCGGGAGTTAGAGATAGTTGTGAGCTACCATGTGGTTGCTGGGAACTGAACCTAGGTCTTCTAGCCTTCGTTCTTACTTATTGAGCCATTTCTCTATGCCCTTAATTTGTTTTCTTTCTTTCTTTCTTTCTTTCTTTCTTTCTTTCTTTCTTTCTTTTTTTCTTTCTCTCTCCCTCTCTCTCTTTCTTTCTTTCTTTCTTTCTTTCTTTCTTTCTTTCTTTCTTTCTTAGTAAAGGTTTGTGTGTTTGCTTGCTAATATTGTTTTGCCTGCATATATGTGCATGCATTCTTAGTGCCCATGGAGGCCAGCAGAGGCATCTGATCCCCTGAAACTAGTGTTAGATGGTTGTGAGCTGCCCTGTGGCTACAGCAAACTGAACCTGGGTCCTCTGCAAGAGTAGTGAGTACTCTTGTCCACTGAGCCAGTCTTTCAGTCCTGTTGTTACCTTTGTTCTTTTTTTTTAATTTATTTATTTTTATATTTTTTTATTAATGTATCAGTTCTCTGTCTGCATATATACCTGCACACCAGAGGAGGGCATCAGAGCCACCATGTGGTTGCTGGGAATTGAACTCAGGACCTCTGGAAGAGCAGTCAGTGCTCCTAACTTCTGAGCCATCTCTCCAGCTCCAGTCATTACCTTTCTTAAATAGCCTCTTAAACATTAGGAAAATATCATTTGTTTTGTTTTTAAGATTAGTTTTATTTTTATTCATGTATATGTGTGTGAATATATTCCCTATGTGGGTACCTATAGAAGGCATTGAATCTCCTGAAACTAGGGTTGCAGGTGGTTTTTTTAAGTCACCTAGTTTAGGGGCTGGGAATTGAACTCAGGCCTTCTGGAAGAACAGGATACTGCTAAGTCATCTCTCTAGCCTCCAAGCATATAAAGAAAGGTATTTAGTAATGAGCTGACTTTTTCTGTCTTCTTCTTCCTGTCAATAGATATGTGGTGGTCCCGGGATGTCAGATCCAAGGGCAGGAGGTGATGCCACGGACTCCAGCCAGACAGCTCTTGATAATAAAGCGTCTTTGCTCCACTCAATGCCACTCCACTCCTCTCCACGCTCCCGAGACTATAATCCATACAACTACTCAGATAGCATCAGTCCCTTCAACAAGTCTGCCCTCAAGGAAGCCATGTTTGATGATGATGCCGACCAATTTCCTGACGGTATGTTACGGGTTGCAGTGCATTTTGGAGGACTGGTTCAGTGAAACAAGTGGATGTCTTTGCTCTTTTATTGTAACAACCATTCCTTCCCAGGGCATCATGACTATAAAGTCATGACAGTGAGAGCAGGAGGCAGCTGCTCAAATGGCATCCATGGTCAGGACGCTGTGAATCTGGATGCTCAGCTCACTTTCTCCATTTTGTTCAGTCTGGAGCTCTAGCCCTTGGATGGTGCTCCCACATTCAGAGAGGGTCTTTCCTTTCATCTAAGCTTCTCTGGACCCAAATGTATGTTTCCATCGTAATTCCAAACCCCCTCAGATTGACAATATATTCACCTCACTTGTAGGTGTTTATTTATACTATATGAGTTAGATGAAATTGGATTCAGTCTGAAGGTCTAATGGTTACTAATCTGCATAGCCTGGTTGTATAGTTAGTATTCTCTTAGGTAAATGTTCCTTGTCGCCACTGGAAAAGGGCAGTTGTAATTGTACATTCTTGTCCTCTGATCATGGTAAACAGTAAGGCACAGCCAGGATACATGAAACATGACAAAGCTCAGAGTGTTTCCTTGCTGATAAGCAATTAGATGTTTGAAGGTGCCAGATCCCCTGTAGTTGGAGTTCCAGATAGTTTGTAAGGTGCCAGTGCTCTTAACTCTTAACAACTAAGCCATCTCTTTAGCCCAGGCTTGGTAATGAGTCCATATTACTTTTATGTTTTTTTGAGACAGGGTTTCTCTGTATAGCGCTGGCTGTCCTGGAACTCACTCTGTAGACCAGGCTAGCCTCGAACTCAGAAATCCTCCTGCCTCTGCCTCCCAAGTGCTGGGATTAAAGGCATATGCCACCACTGCCTGGCCCATATTACTTTCTTTAAAGATTCCGATACTGGGCTGGAGAATGCTAAGAATACTTGCTACTCTTGCAGAGGACTTGAATTCAGTTCTCAGCATTCACTTGGTGGTTCATAACTATTTATAACTACAATTCCAGGGGATCTTCTGTCCTTTGTAAGTTCCAAGCATGCTCATGGTACACTTGAACACGTTCAGTCAAAACCCTCAGACACGTGAAATAAAATTTTAAGAAAAGAAAGAATTCCAGTGCTAGAATGGCCTTCTGTGATAAACTTGAAATTCTCCCTCTCAGGGGAAGACTTGAGGCCTAGCACGCGCGCGCGCACACACACACACACACACACACACACACACACAAAATAATACCTTTTTGAAAAGACATGAACTAAGCTAAGCCTAGTGATGCTTGCCTATGAAGATTCTGCCTCTAAGTAGTATTTATAAAAAAGCAAAAACAAGTCAAAATGCTTTGCTAAGACTGGAGACACAGTTCAGCCGTGAAGACCAATCACTGACTACTCTTTTTAAAAGACGTTTGCTTCCTGATACCTAGATCAGACAGCTCACAATTACTTGTAGCTCCAGCTCCAGGGAATCTGATGCCTTCTTCTGTCCTCTGAAGGCATTTGCATACATGCGGCATGCACACAAAGAGAGAGAAAAAGGGGGGAGGATATATACACATACCCATAAATTAAAAATTATAACTAAAACCCAGCTCCTCTTTGATAACAGTTGGTCTCAATATGACTCTGAAACATAAAGAAAATTATATTTGCCAGGTAGGGTAGTGCGTGCCTTGTATTCCACCAGTCATGAGGCCGAGGTAGATGGATTTCTTGAGTTCAAGGCCACCCTGGTCTCTGTAATGAGATCCAGGACAGGCAGAACTACTTAGTGAGACCCTGTCTCAGATGGACAGACGGATGGATCCAAGGAAAGACGTAAGGAAGGAATAAAAGAAGGTTATCAGTAAAACCTTTGACTATTTTCTAAAATTAAAAAAGGAAAATAACTCTAATTGATAGTTACTCTTTGCTGAAGCATTCTGATCCATGGAAGAAATGATATGATTAGATTATGAACATTCTTGACTCCTAAACTAATTGTTTCAAAGCAGGCAATGAATGGGTCAGCCCATGGTTGAAAGATTGCTGGGAAGTTATAACCACCTAAATCATTGAACGTGGAATGTCCAAACACACAGCCTCTTGGCAGGAAGTGCTCACTCAACAGCATTACAAGGAGATGGTGCAGAAGGGGTGGAGAGGGGCGTAGGAGTGACACGCTTTCTCTGAGGTCTGGGCGAGGGGTGCTGCTGCGTCCTTACTCGGTTTTCTCAAATGGTTTTGTAGTTGAAAATGTATAAAGTACATTGCTGATTCAGGGATGGCAACTGAAAATTAGTGTTTGTTCTTATCTCTTGAACCAATATTGATTGTGCCTACTTACTTGTGTTCTGAAGTAATCATCTCTGTACCCCAGAGTCGGACTATACAATTAGAAAATTCATATTAGGGCTGGAGAGATGGCTCAGCGGTTAAGAGCACTGGCTGCTCTTCCAGAGGTCCTGAGTTCAATTCCCAGCAACCACATGGTGGCTCACAACCATCTGTAATGGGATCTGATGCCCTCTTCTGGTGTGTCTGAAGACAGCGACAGTGTACTCATATAAATAAAAAAATAAAGAAATCTTTAAAAAAAAAAAAAAAAAAAAAAAAAAAGAAAATTCATATTATATCCTTTTGACAGATCTTTCCTTAGACCATTCTGACCTAGTTGCAGAGTTGTTGAAGGAGCTGTCCAACCATAATGAACGTATAGAAGAAAGAAAAATTGCCCTGTATGAACTCATGAAGCTAACCCAAGAAGAATCTTTCAGTGTTTGGGATGAACACTTCAAAACAATATTATTGTTATTGCTTGAGACCCTTGGGGATAAAGAGGTAAATTGCAGGCTATATGAACTATATTCTGCCATGCTGAATGTTTGGCTCTTGTGGGTGGAGGACTAGGAATTGCACCCAGGGCTTTTCCAGCCCTTGCTTGTTGCCCGGCTTACCTGTTGATCAGCTCATACACGCTGATGGAGTGATGGAATGATGGACTGGTGGAATGAATGATGGAGTGATGCAGTGATGGAATGAATGATGGGGTGAT